GGCAAGAGGAGAGCGTGGAGAAGAGACCTAAAGGCCTGGAGTTTTCCAGACTGGTCTAACAGTGATGAGAGATGCCTTGAATGACAATCGTCAAATGTTCTTCGGGTGCTGATTTCGCCTCAAGTTGTTGTAGCAGCAACACGACTGCTAGCAACAGATATTGGTTCAGGTCGAGCGAGGCACGGGCGAATCCTTTGGACTCGTTTCTCTCTTTTCTCCAGAGGACCGGGCCCGGGGCACGGAGGCGTCGGAGGCGGCCGTAGGGAGGTGGACCATGACGAGAGCAGGCGGCGCCTCCCACATCAAGCCTCACAGATTCATACTTTCCGTCGTCGTTTGGTGGTGGCCGGAGACGAAGACCGGGTCCGAGAGGCCGAGGCAGGACTCCCTTTGTTCTCCATGGAGCTGAATTCATCAACGGACCAGGCAAAGGCTTCCGTACTGGGGAGGCTGCAGTCCGTTAGTCCCCATCCCTAAAGCCCATCAAGTCGGATTGTGAAGGGTACTGATGGGTAACGTAAGATACCTAGTTCAAGTGAAGTTTGACTTTGGGTCTAGGTGTGCCACTCGCCTAACGGTGCTCAGGAGGAACTGATCCGGTGTGAGGCAAGCTGTGAACAGACGGTGGGGCTGCGACACAAGCGCAGGATTGCTGAGAGACGTGCCTGGCGTTTGCTTGGTTGATGAGAAATCAGTGTCCCCATCCGACCGGGGAGAGAGAAAAGATGAAGGTGAGAAGAAGAAAGACAAAGATGCTGCCCAGGTGGAGGCGGAGGAGAAAAAAGAGGCAAGGGGTTAGTGGTGGTGGTGATACTGTACGTAGTAGACTGTACTCTGTAGGCCGGAAGCTACTGGAAGGGTCCCCTGCATCAATGGTCTGTGCGCGTTCGTTTCCCAAGATCGATTGACGATGCTTCCTTCCTTCCCACTCTGTGTCCATGCCTTCCAGGTTGTTCGCACCTGCCATATGACTTTCGTAGGTGAGGTTCCTTGGGAAACTTGAGGATTCGACTTACGTAACACGTCCATCTAAACTGCTTCTCGTCGCAAACTTGATCAGACGACTCCAACGACATCCCAGAAATCAGACGAGATTACTTACACGAATGCTCTCCACCAAGGTCGACCACCTTTGACAAGCCCCAAACAGCAATTGCTTTTTGCCATATTATCACCTCATGCTAATACTCCCCTGCCTGGTCGCCATGCTAGTCAAGGACCTCATCAGCGAACCAGATCGGTAAGGCGAGAAACAATATCGGGACGACTAGCCTCTTCAACCCATCCCTGCGAAGAATGTGAAGAAGGGGCGCCTCGATCATGTCTTCTCGCCAATCGATAAATCTATCCCTGCTTACACCAACGGCCAATCAAGCCTTCGCTCAGTTGATACCCCATCCTAGTTTCTCAACTTCGCCCACCGTCACCCACCATCCAGGAAAGTCCAGCCAGCCGTGTCAGCCTACCTAGAGCAAACCTCATATCCAGTCTGTCAAATCAAGTCACCAAAGGCCTTGGTCTACTTACTACCTCGGCTTATTCGGGCTCGCTAGTGTCCCCGACCATGGTCGCCGTCGCCATCGCCCCGAGGTCAATCTTTGTGTGTCGCCGTCCACCCCCCTTTCAAGACTTGGGCCAACCGTTTTCCGAGCAGCGCCTTTTTCTGTGTAGCGTCGATGAGCCAGCTATCCGATCAAGCCAGCTTCCAGTAGCTCTACTCCGCGAATCGGCCATCTGCAGCATGGCAAAGACCACATCTTACTCCAACCTCACCGTCGCACCGCAGCAGTTGTCGATGCAGAGGACAAGATAGCATCCCATTCAGGTCCCAAAGCTGAAAACACCCCTGGCGCAAATCATTGCAGTCATCTCGAAGCGAACCCCCTCCAGGGGGATGGACGGCCCAACCAGTGGCTAGAACCCCTGTGCCGAGCCAAACGTCACACGTTACCCGATTGCGACGCTGCTTCCGGCCCGAGAGGAACAGATCGCCGGGCATGTTTCCAGCTGCGTCCTGTACAAGGTATTGGCTCGCCTATCGTGCCGCAAAATGGCATTGTGTGTATGTGTGTGTGTGTGTGTGTGTGTGTGTGTGTTCGTGACTGCTCTGAACGCGGCGTCATCGTATGCAGGCTGAGGGTTTTCATCACAGCCCGTCTCTGCTCTTTCTGCTATGGCTTCAGGTGAAGCTACACTTCTTGATATCCTCAAAGGCCTTGGTTGAAACGACACCAGGTTCGGACGATCTCATCTATCGACTCCAACCGTCGACCAGGGTTAATGGTTTGCCAGTTACCATCATCTAGTCCTCGCGCAAGGGCCGCTCTCTCCCCCCAGCTCTTCACCCTCTCTGCAGTTTCTGGGTCGTGGCGTCAAGCTCCTGCCATGCTCTTAGCGACCTAGGCCACACGACGCTAACTCTCCCCTACGTCTTTTTACTCGAAACCAAGAAAATTCTCTAGCGTGGACCATGACCTAAGTCACCTTCCTATCTTCGATGGCGAGATGGGTTCCATCAATGTCAGGAGCGTGCCGTCCATGTGCTGGCCCAAGGGTTCTGACCAAGGTGCTTGGCTACCAGAATTAGAGGGGACAGTCATTCGCACTTCCCACCTTGTGGAGAACGTGCGAATTCCTCGTGGGCGGCGTGTTGGCCATTTTTATGTCTTACTCTGATGGAATGTCTTGTGGCTGTCTCGCTCCTCGTCTGATTGATAACATTTCCACAAACCACCAGACATCGCGGCATAATTGTGACACTGATTTCAACACTGGATAGATCTATCCAATAGACGCACAAGTGTCAGCCGTCAAAAGTCTGGACTTATTACTTCGAGACAAAAATCCTGCCGCCAGGAACATGAGCCACAGCACGAGCCATTGAAAGTCATGCCCTACTAGTTTACGGGAAGGATTCGGATCTTTCCAGTTCAGACAATGTCTTGGCTCAGGGGATACCATCTACCAGTCCCTCTCAGAAATGTCAACGGTGTTCACGTCAACGCCATCCCGGAACCACCTCTGCGCGTCTTCAATTTTGACATCGTTCCCGCTCATCTGCCTCTTGCGCATAAGCCCATTCTCAGCAAAGGTCCAGTCCTCGAGACCATACGTCCGCCACCACTGTTTCGACTCATCATACCATTCGTACCAAAATTGGACGGCAATCTTATTTCGACGATCAGTAGTCTCCTTGAGGCGTAGCCACAGCTGCGGGGTTAACAGTGACTCTGGGGAGCTTACCTTGTTGTCGGTGAAAGCGAACAACTCCTTGCGCAGCCGGTAACCATTCTCCCTCTCCCATTTCTTGGTGAGCCATTGCTCAATTTCATCTCGACCTTTGAGAAAAGTGTCTCTGTTGCGCCAGATGGAGTCGACGGTGTAAGCCATCTTCACTTTTGCGGGGTTTCTATAGCGATGTCAGTCGGTGTCTGCTTCGGTCGGCGAGGGGCACGGACTTGGAGTTCCATCCATCCTGGGCCGCCTTCACCTTGATCCTCGCGGTTTCTTCGGTGAAAGGCGGAAATGGTGGTCTGGTTTCTTCCTGGCTGGCCATGATTCAAGCAATACAACTTGTTCAGTGATGATGCCTGGAGTCACGGAGCTACTACCGTGGCAATGGACAGCAGTTTTGAACATGTCAGTCATGTTGGAAGAGGACACGAGCAACGGACGATGCAACCAATCACAGGCACAGGCTGACAGGAGTTCGGCCTTTGTCAGCTGTCATCAGCGCCCTTGGCAAACACCGCGGGCTATGCTCTCACGGAACGACGTCAGATGAGGCGCAATAGCTCTGATTTTTCAACTTCTTCATCTCTAGCTGAGAAATTCAAAGCTGGCTCGAGCATAATGAGTCTTTCACATTTCGGATGGCTTTCGGCAAAAGCGCAGCAGTGTCAATCAACGGCCGACGCCGGCGCGGCTTCTACCTTCCCACACAGAGCCGCGCTGACATGCAGTGCGTTCTGGCGTTGTGAACTAGGTACCGGACGATTGACTTTCCTGGGTCCCGGCGGCCGGTTCTTCAGACGACAAAGTCACGGAAATCCAGACAAGCACATGCTCGCCGAATTGTACCACGTACAGTCCTGCAGGCCAAAGAAGTTAACATCAGAAGTGTCACGCCGGGTCTTGAGCACCCGGACCTTGCCATGATGACAAAAGCTCCCAGAGTTCAAGCTCTTGGCACAGTAACTCCGAAGGACGTTGGTAGAAGGCCGACAGGCTGGATGCTCGGACGGCCGAGAGGGCCCTTGTCGCCCCCCACCGGGGGAGAGAGGCCGGGGATCGGAGCCCAAACGGACGCGGCATAAATTCCCGGTCTTGCGTCATGTCACTCTGTGGGCCGAAAGGGTGCGCATTTGCTGATGTTATCAGAGTTCAAGGTACCTATCACCTACCTCCTCCCTGTGGATGGATACCTTACTCTGTCTGCTGTCACTTTGAAAGCTGTTGTTGTTATCTCCTACCTACCTCCTCGGGGGAAAGGATACTTTGTATTATTGCATGGCTCTCCAAAGCGAAAGCGGGCAAACAAGACAACTCTCCAGAATTCCGAGACAAATCAACCCGTCGAGTCCTCTTCTTAGTGCAACGGTAGGTCTCCGTGGTCCGCACTTTTTGCCCAATTGTATTTCGTCACAGAAGACTAAGAGAAAAAAAAAAAGAGGCAATGAGGCAATCAGTGAGAGGCGACGGGACCGCGGCCGGCTGTCCCAGGAAGGAGTGGCCGCCCCGCGCCTAAGGAGCGTAGTATCCGTATCTCAAATACAAATCATCACGAGCTCCACTTCCCTGGAAGCTCGCAGAATTGCGCCTGGGACCCTGACTCGGCGATCCCTCGATATCCCGCCCACTACTAATTCACCTGCCTTCCTTTATCTGATCTTCTTTTTCCTCTTTCCATTCTTCAACAAACACTCTGCCTATCTCCTCTCAAATTTCCAACTTGTCTCTTCTCCCACCAATTTTCAATCCACCCATACCAAATCATCAAAATGTCTGGTCTCAAGGTCGGCGAGCAGTTCCCCGAGGGCGTTGCCTTCCAGTACATCCCCCACCAGGAGGAGACTGCCGACTTCAAGGTCTGCGGTATCCCCATCAAGTACGACACCGCCAAGGGTAAGTCTCTCTCAATTGAAGCATCACGACCCAAAGACCATCGTGGCTAACTTGACTGCCTCTCACAGAGTTCAAGGACAAGAAGGTCGTCATCGTCTCTATCCCCGGTGCCTTCACTCCCACCTGCTCCGCCTCCCACCTGCCCGGCTACATTGAGCACAAGGATGAGCTCAAGGCCAAGGGCGTCGACCAGGTCATCTTCCTCGCCTACAACGACCCCTTTGTCATGTCCGGCTGGGGTAAGGCCAACAACATCAAGGACGACTTCATTGTGAGTTTTGGTCCCTGTCTCCGTCTGGTTTTTGCTGTCGTGTCTCCTTGTTTTTTTTTTTTTTGCTTCAGCTAGCAGCTCTAGCTGTGCTGTGCTGTTGTGCTGTTTTACCCCTCCCCCTCTTTCCGTGGAGCTCACCCCTTCACCGACTCCGATAAACGCCGCGGCCCCCACCCCCCACTCTGCCCCTCCTCAAGGGGGGTAACAAGAGTCTCGACATGATACCACGATACGCCCAAGTCGCCTCATCCGCGGTCTCGCCTTCGTGGCCCCCCTCCTCCATCCCGTCGGGCAATCTCACTTGTCATAATACCAAAAAAGAAAAAAAAATTCCAACTAACACATCACCACCCCAGGTCTTCGCCTCCGACGCCAACGCTGCCTTCTCCACCTCCATCGGCTGGAACCACGGCGAGCGCACTGCCCGCTACGCCATCGTCATTGACCACGGCAAGGTCGTCTACGCCGAGAAGGAGACTGAGCTCCAGGGCCTCGAGGTCTCTGGCGCTGAGCCCGTTCTCAAGGCTCTGTAAAGAGTCCCTTGCCTTGTGCTACTAAAGATTTAATGAAATTTTGCGTTGGGCGGGTTCTCTTTTTTTGATGATGAGAAATGAATGCCTTCAAGAACCTTGAGAAAACCAAGACATGGACTTTCTTTATAGACAAAGGAGGAAGACAAGGAAGCTTTCGACGCGTTTAGAACAAAAAAGCTCATAGAATTTTGAACTTTCGCTAGACGAAGGAGGGTTTCTTCAGAGATGAAATACTCTTCCACTTTATAGAAATAGAAGAAAATGAATGGTTCATGAAATTTGGTCACATTCGTGTCTCGTCTGGCTCGTATATTCGTTTCCTTGGGAAATATGATGATCCTAAATGATATAATAGCTGTATTGTGAGCTGTGCTGTATGTTGAAACACGTGTCATTGTAAGACGCCGTTGGAGAGCTCGGTAGAGCAACGGATTTGTCTCGGTAGCGGGGCTCGGAGATGCGACTTTGCCGCGAAGAGAGGCGGGGGAAGAAGGAAGTGATGGAGAGGAACGGGATGTCTCTTCACACGTTGAGAATGGTTTTGATCACTTAATAACCGGGACTGTGTAAGGAATAATAAGTTATATGTGCATCTTATTCCCATTGCAGGAATGATGCGTGTAAACGGCGAGTACCATGATTCGAAATGACCGATCTCGATGGAGGTGCATATTTAATGTGTTCTCGTAGAGAACGAAGTCACTGTCAAGTTTCAACTATTTTTGCAAGTTGAATTGAGATTATGGAGACGAGGTTATGAATGTTTATTACTAATCGTCTTTACGATGTTTTGATATAATTTATAACTCGGCTATTGGTCTTCATGTCCTTTGTTTGAGATGATCCATCTACTAGACGGGTTTCGGCGATGGACAGCAACAGCTGGATGATTCCACTATACTGTTGCGGAATAGGTAAAGGGGGTTGAGGCTAAAGAACGTTTATCGTCTGGAAAAAGCTCCGAGTCCCAATCTTGAGCGTGTGAAGCCGTGGAATCGAAGGATTGTGACTATCTCTCCATTCTCAATGGGGGGGGGGGCTGGGTATATGATGGCATTGTAACAGGAGACGCAATAAGTTTGATACTTTTTCGTTTTTGCAGCCTGAGAAAGGAGGTAAAGGGGACGGACGTCTCGAGGGAAGTAGAGGTCAGCCTCGTGGAGAAGGACTCAGATCTACGATGTATCCCCTCTCGAAACTGAGAGAGAAAGACCTTTACTCATGTCACGCTCCAGAAACAACATCATTAATCACATGGTTCGAAGCATAACAGGCTCGAATCACCGAATAGGGAATTCAGAATCAAAACGTTGGTAAGAATCCCCCGTGGGACAATTCCATGCAATTCCGTGCTACCGTGATTGTGTAGTTATAGAACCCCAAGTCCCGTTCAAAGCACAATGAACCCTCGACTCCAAATAAGTTTTGAACCTGGTCGTGTTGTGCCCACATCGTTTGTTGTCAGAAGCGTTCGTTCCCTTCTCTCTTAGAAAACAGTTTGGTCCTCCCCTCACCAGCCGGGAGGGGAAAGAAACCCTCGGCCGGGGTTGGGTTCGGCCGTTCTTGTCTTTTGCTCTTGCTTCCCGCATGTCACCAGCCTCACGCCGTCTCGACAGAGAAATGTTTTTACTCTTTTTTTATTTCATCATGTCAAGAGAGAAACAAGCCCCATCCATATCAAAAACCCATTTTTTCCCCATCCTCGGAAAGACTAGAAAAAGAAGTGTTGTTTAACGGGTACGGGCCTGGACCTTGGGAGCGGCGCCCTTGGAGCCCTGCTTGGAGGCGATGGGGCCCTTCTTGCCACCGGCGGCAGCGGTCTTGGCCTTCTCGGCCTTCTTGGCGGCGGCGTCGGCGTTCTTCTTGTCCTTGGACTCCTTGATGGCGGCGGCGCGGGCGGCGGAGCGGGCCTCGGGGCGCATGGAGCGCTTCTCCTTGATCACATCGAGGGAAGCACCGACGATGGCACGCTGGGCCTTGACGGTGCGGCGGGTGCGCTTCTTGGCGACCTCCTGTTGTTGGGGTCAGTCATCTTGCTTCTCTGGGGGGGGGGGGGGGGTTTGAGGCTCGCGACGCGTGGAGGGGTACGAGATGGTGAAATCTCAAATATGACCCCGTCCGGCGTCGCGATGGTTGGCACTCACCTCAGAGATACCCTTGCGGTGCTGGCGACGGTACAGAACGGTCCAGGCAATGCGGCGGGGGTTCTTGCGCTGGAGGAAGAGGGACTCGGACTTTCCGTTCTGGAAACGGAAGATCTTGGAGTCACCGCGGACATAGAGCTTACCCTGTATCATCAGAGTCTCGTCAGCGTCTTGTTCCCATGTGTGTTTGTGTCTTTGCCTCCTCCATCAAGTCGTCTCCTTTCAGTCATCTTTCCCTTTCCCCGTCGATCAATCGTCGGCCCCCCTGGCTTGCTCATTCATTCAAGTCGTTGCCCCTCATGTTCCTACTCTTCCATCTGGGGTTGAGCTTCCCTACTGCCCAGCCATGCCTCGAGCAAGTTCCTTCGATCGACTAGGGGAAAGATGATATCGGAGATGAAGGGAGGGGTGGGTGGCGTTGTCATCATCGTACCTTTCCAGGGTAGATTCTCTGTCCGGAGAACGTGTCGTCGTACGTGCGCATCTTTAAAAATCAGTCAGAAAGCGATCCCTCGAAAAGTTCGGAATATCTTCCTGGAATCGACCCTCAATTCGTTCTCTTCGTCTGGCCCAGCAAGATTGTCGAGGAAAGCGGTCTCTTTCGTTGATGGCGAAGTCGCGTTGTGCTGGGTAATCGCTAGGCCAGCAGTCGGAAGAAAAAATCGAGGGTCGACCGGACGAGGGGGTTATCTATTGAACGTACATTGGCGGTATTGAATGCGAACGTTGGCTGACTTGTCGATGAGGTCAAAGGGTTCGGGAAGGGGAGGGTAAGACCAGGCTGGCACTCTTCGCGAGATTCTACAATTTTCGACTCTGGTTCGGAAATTCGTCGTGGGAGGGTAGAATAGCCTAGTGGGCGTCAACCCTACGCGGATGGGAGAAAGAGTGGGTCCATTCGTAGGCTGGTGCGAGTGTCACGTGGAGATAGCCATTGCCGATACGATCCGCCGTGCGCCACATCTGTGGATGTGATAGACAAGGTACGTGGGCACTTAGTGTGGCTTATGTGTGACAACAGGCCCACCCGCAACTTCAAGTCAACGGTGGCCGACGACACACGCTCATGCCTGGAAGAAAATGTCGAGAAGAATCCGGTGATGAAAAGCTGTCTGAGGGCGACGAGACCGCTCATGAGAAAACCACGGCCGTCAAAAATGCCAGCCGACCCCGATGAGATTGCAGATGTTGTCCTGCGGCAGTTTAAGAAACTGCCTACAAAACGCAGGCCCCAGGTTAGAGACAACGGACTACATGAATGGGTTCCCCTGAGCGGCATCGTCGCCGAGAAAGATGGCGTTCTGACATGTCTCTCACTCGCGTAAGTCAGATGGCCATATGTATGATATCGTGTGGGCGAATATGGATTGTCTACGCGGTAGTTGGTTCATTTGGTACATACTTATGACGTTGGATCTTGTCTTGCCTATATCACAATGTTCTACAGGAACCATCCTCCTCGTAGCTTCCAGAATCAGTAGCAATATCAGACCTCATTTTAAGTCATAAATCTCGCCCATAACACCTGGCTAACACCTACCGCAGAACGGGCATGAAATGCCTCCCAGCCAGCAAACTCCCCCTAGCAAAAGGAAACGCCCTCCACGACTGGCACGCCGAAGTCCTCGCCATCCGCGCCTTCAACCGCCATCTCCTAGACGAATGCGACACCTACTCGCAGGGTACCAGCTCCCCTACCTCAGAAATCATCACCAGACGCTCCCCCTCTGCCGTCTCCCCCGCTTCACCCCAACCCTTTGCAATCAGAGAAGACGTCACCCTGCACATGTACTGCTCCGAAGCCCCCTGCGGCGACGCAAGCATGGAACTCACAATGGCGGCGCAAGAAGACGCTTCACCCTGGGAAGTGCCCCCATCCTCATCCTCATCCACAACCTCCCCGGACGTCACCACTCCCGCTCCCGCGCCCGGAACAACAACAACGGACACAAAGTCGACCCCCCTCCCAGGAAGAGCCTACTTCTCCCACCTAGGCATCGTCCGCCGCAAACCAGCCCGCGGCGACGCGCCCCCGACAACCTCCAAATCATGCTCCGACAAGCTCGCACTCAAACAGTGCACCTCCCTCCTCGCCTCGCTAACCTCCCTTCTAATCCATCCAGCCAACGCGTACATCTCCTCCCTTATCCTGCCAGAGTCGGAGTACTCCGCCACAGGCTGCGAGCGCGCCTTCTCAGAGAGGGGACGGATGAAGGCCGCGGCGGACGAGACTACGCAGTGGAAGGGCGGCTACCGGTTCTCGCCGTTCGAGGTACGCTCCACGACCCGAGGCTTTGAGTTTTCGAAACGGAGTGTTAGGGAACGGGTTGGAGCGGATAAGATTGCGGCTAGTAATCTCGCTGCCGTCTGGACTCTGAACGGCCGGGTGGATGAAGGCACGATGGGCGGCGTGCTGCAAGGGCGGAAGGCGTTCGATATCAGGGGCGCGAGTTTGGTTTCTAGGCGGAGGATGTGGGAGCTCGCGGCGGCGGTGGCGGATAGGTTAGCTGGGGAAGAGCTTGATGACGAGTACGAGGTTGAGGGGTTGTTGCGGCGGGCGTTGGATGTTGATACGTATGGTGAGGTCAAGGGCGGGGAGATGCTTGCTTATCGGAGGGAAGTGAAGGAGGCTGTTAGGAGGGCTGCGTTGGCGGGGTGGGTTGTTAACATTGGGGATGAGAAGTTTGCGAGGTTGTAGGATGAGATCCGTCACGGTGGCATGGATGCTTGGGCGTATGAGTGCGACGCAATTGAGGACATCAAGCGATTCCACTTTGTATCTCCTCATCTACTCATCATCTCATAACGTTATGAGTATAAACGGATTCATTCACTTTGTCGAGACCTCAGTGTTCCTCAGGGCCGGCATGAACGACAAGCCTCACGCATTTTCCTGAGTCTACCTCTCTCTCAGCCTCTTGACACTCCACATCCACACACACAGTTTCAACCGCCGGGGAACACATTGGAGCGTCTTCGAATCGAAATGCGTTGGAAGTCAAGTTTTGTATCTCGTTAATTTTTCCCATTCCTTAAAACCCACACGCTCGTTTATAGATGAGGCAATCCACGGAACCCCAGGGCAGTTTCGATCAAAAAAATCTCTCTCTCTTCTCTCTCTCTCTCTCTCGAACTCCATGACAAGATATAGAAGTAGTCGGAGAATGGGCACCGTTTGGTTTGGGAGCTTTTTTTACTTTTATTGATCTTTTTTCGGCAAATTTTCATCCTTTCTTTTCAGTTTGAAAATTGGTTGCCGCTTACTCGACCTTGCTCTCAAAGTTCTCACCCTCGACCAAGTCGGGGATGTCGTCCTCCTCACCGTCCTTACCCTCCTTCTGCATGTTCTGGTAGCTCTCGGCGAGCTTGCGGAGCGAGGCGAGGGAGTCGGGGCCGAGCTGGTTGAGGATGCCGGGGACGAGCTCGGTGAGCTCCTTGTCCTCACCGTTGCCGTAGATGGCGAAGGTGTTGGCGGGGACAGCGGCATGGACTGGAAAAGGGTTCATCTTAGCATATGTCCAGATCTTCTTTCGTGCGACGAGGGAGATATATGAGGGTAGGAGAGCTGTCCTCTCGTGGAGGAGGCAGAGGTGTATGTATCGGGGCAGGGTGTGTCGGTGACGGTGGTAGTTGGTGGTCATTTACCCTTGGGAGCAGCGAAGTGGATGACGTTGCCGTCAGACTTGAACATGTTGACCTCCTCAATGGCCTGGATGGGCTGGACGTTGAGCTTCTTCAGGGCAGCCTGGAGCTTCTTGTCGTCGGCAGCAGAGCGCGCGGGCGCACGCTTCATCTTGCGGCGGGGAGTGCCCTTGCCGCTATCGTCGGGCGAAGCATCGATACGTTAGTCATCATTTCCTCTGGTATAGAATTTGAACATTTCGCGACGAGCGGTTCGGGAGTTGTCTTTGTGTGCAATTTTGTCTTTTGACTATTTTGCGATCTCTCGGTGAGGGAAGGGTGGTAAAAAAATGAGGGGTCAATTTTCGGAGGTTCAAACATACCCTGCGCATCGCGGATATTAGCTACCAATTTCAAAACCGACAGCATTACGACAGCGTAGAGAAACACAGATACAACGTACCGATACGCGCGGAGGCGCCGAGCTTCTTGAGGCGTTCCTGGACGTCCGACATGGTGGGCAGATTGGCTCGAAATTTGACGAGTTTGGGAGGGGAGGGAGAGAGGGACGGTTTGACGTGGTGGTTTTGCGGGTGGGGGAAAGGAAGCTGGTGCTGTGCGGTCGTCCCAGGGCAATTAGCAAAAATGTGTGGTATGGAGGTGGGAAAAACCCGGGCGGGCAGCAACCGGCCGACCCCCCCTCAGGCGAGGACGGGAGCTACGACCACACGCATATTCCCCCCGCCCTCTTTCTTTCCCTCCCGTCCCGTGTGTGCAGGCCGGATGAGAGTCAAATTTACTGGGCAACTACTCACCACGATTCGTCTCGTTTGTTATACGTTAATCATCTACCACAAGGCTGAAGCCGGCTCTTTGAGCTTTGCGTGATGAGGGTGATGCAATGATGGAGGTTTTGTGCGTGCCAAGAATTCCCTTCGCTTGCGGAAATAGTATGTGCCGAGGTACGTTCCTTTTTCGACTTCACCGACGGCTCACCGAGCGAGGTGGGGCTGGCTGAATGATGAGCTTTTCGGCTTGCGTTCTCGAGTATTGTTGAAGGAGGTTGATTTTCTTCGTTGATGACAATCACCATCTCCTGATTCGATGCATACTGTGACAACTCAATCTCCAGTTCAAGATCGAGACTTAGATTCTAAGCACACAACACCGCTGCCGCGCATTTCGTCAATTTCATCCAAATGTCTTTGAGCCCTCAAACGCCTGAAAGCAACCCTCAGAGGTCGGCATGGTATCTTTCGTTCTTATACAGCCAAAATGGCGTATTCCCAGACCCTCCGAGTCCGCATTGATATAGTACAGTCCGTCGTAGAGTGACGGGACATCAGTCCAAGTCATCCGACATGCCCGACTCCTTGCGCATCGCTGCTTGCTGCGCCCTGAGATCCGCTTCTCTCCTCCTTGCGCATCGCTGCTTGCTGCGCCCTGAGATCCGCTTCTCTCCTCCTCTGCTCATTCACGCGTGCCTGCTTTTGTCTCTCGATGTCCTCGTCTCGTACCGTCCAAACTGTTTTCTGTGTTAGCTTCATTATGACCCCATAACCTTAAGTTGTCATGTGCGTACTCGGTTTGTTCGACTTGGAGTATTCCTTCAGCTTCGTGACAAATTGGTCGAACTCCTCCTGCGTCTTTTCGCGGTTCGCAAGACTCCTCGCCTGCAGCTCAGGATTGTATCTCTTGAAAAGCTCCTCCTCCGTCGGCGACACCCACATGGTGAAGGCCGGACCGCCCACGCAAAAGATTCCGCCGCTGTGCCCTTCTGTCAGTGTGTCGTTCGCCGCAAACCTCCGAGAGTCTCAACATACCCAACCAGCATTTTCCCCCACAGCTTCCAATTCGTAGCCTTCTTCGTCGCCATGGTGATTGATTTTGTGTGATGCAGCGGGGATTGCAACAAGGTTGTGACGATTTGGCGAAGCTCCGGCAATGGAGGCTTGGGTTCGTGGCTCTGCGACACAGAGGCAACCCTCTCACAATCGATGACGAACCTGACGCGCTTGATTGGAGATCTACCGATTGAGACCTAATTCGGAAGGCGGTGAAAAGCTGCCAGCTCTTGCCTTACCTAAGCTTGCACATGGCGGTGGTTGGTGGTCTTTGCGCTGAAGATGGTGTGGCTGGTGCCTCATTGCATCAGCTTTCATCCGCATATTCTTAGCCTGGAAGTTGAAGCACCAATCCGAAGACTCGGGCTCGAGTCCCTTCGAAAGTGTGGTAGACTACGGAGTACACCATCAACTTTCCATGATCGCCAAACCCACAGACCAGTTCTCAACTTCCCAGCACATCTCTGCAACCCCGTGGCGCAGGCGGAGGACCACATGTCTGAAGGGGGGCTGTGCTCACTGTCACCAACATCGAACAAAACGTTGTGGTTGGATGATGCCTCAACCCTTTTGGAGACGAGCAACGCTCCAGATCGACATGCGGGAACGCAAAAAAACGCTTCCTGTGCTCCTCTTCCCAATGACAGGACGAAATCCAGCACCGACCCTCGCGAGTTGCGGCGGGATACTCCTAGAGAGGGAGACCGCTTACTGCCCATCAGAAACCCATGTACCGGCCAGGTAGTTCACTGGCGGCGACGCCGCAGCAGCCTTTTGATGCCAGTCACGATTGTCCACTTTCTGTCGATGTGGCAAAAGATCAAAAGGCCTCCGTCTTCAGGGGCGTAGCATCTTCCACGCGTCTGAGGGTTCCCATGCATCGTGATTTGACCGTTGAGAATTAAAGCCATGAACCCCACATGGAAACGCCGTTCTTGGCCGCTCAGCCCTTCCTTCGAGGCGGGAAAGAAAACGCTCTACTCCGAACGGGACGGAAGCTGACGAAATGCCTAACCCACCTCACCGCATGCTTGGCCGCTTGGCCGTACGTTGACCGGGCCGAACGGCCTTCCTATTCGACCTTGGTCGTTTCCACACCATAGGTCGTCAAGGAGCGGGGGCGACGAAGGCGACCGTCGTAAAGCAATACGATAGGGTAGAGGCCTCCTGAGCGTGACCAGAGAGGCTGATATTCCGTCGACGAATAGCAACGCTGCAGAGACGCTGTCACAAGGACATTTACCTAGTCATCGCTCTTACGGAATGAACTGCCCGCCGGATGATGCTTTTGCGAGTAAGAAGATTGCCGTGAAGAAAAGTAGAGACTAGCGGTGCTGCCTCAGGGTGGTTGCATAAACAGGCATTGCTGTCACTGACTCCCGCAACCGTTCCAGCACCAGTACAGTACAGTGTACCAGCACCCACGCTCCGGGCAACAGGACGGGAGTCGACGGGAAGCGAGAGACATGAGACGAAATGTCGCGGACTGGCTCGGCGCACAGAGACTCTGCGAACCTAATTGCCCCTCGTCTCGCTGAGGGTCCTGTCGGCACACTAGTACACCAGGCACACCCAAAGACGGGGTTTCAACAGGAGCCTGGACTGTTTCCGCGCCCTTGCTTTGTTCGGTTCTCGATACTTGGGAATAGGGTTATCTTCAGACTCTCCTAATATATTGCTTCTTGTTTTGAAAAGAGGTGAGCAGGAGCCGAGTAGCAGCCGGGCCCCTGATGCTCACGGCTGACGGATGATGCGTGATAATTCTGGATACCCAAAAGGCAGACTCCATGGGAACAGCAGACTCAAAAGGGGCGACAGGCCAATGAGGTTCGCCACTGGGGAGTTTCTGATACAGCGCTTTTGTTGTGTGCACCTCGAGAGAGACGCGGAGCCGGAACGCATTGCAGCAATGCTCGTTGAACGGGTCCTAGGGGGTTTGCTATTGATCCTTGCTTCTTAATAAGGCACATTGTGCAACCCGGGTCAGGTAGTCAGGTGAGAGCAGGCGACATGCCTGATCAACGTCGTTTTTCTTAGGGCACAACATTGCATCGTTTGTAGTGGCTGAAGAATATCGCAAAGAGCAAAAAAGAAGAGGTTGTCAGATGAAGCTTTTTGGGGGTGTTGCCGTAGAAGCATCCGATTGAGGTTGGAATGTCTCTGGTCCTATCTGCCTCGTGACGACGAAGACGGAAACGGAATAGCTGTTGCAAATCATTCGTTAAAGACAATTGTGACATTCCAATGTTGGTTTGCTGGACTGACGTCTTTTTTCTTGTGTTCGCAAATGAATGAATGGGTGTGGGGGGAGAATGGGGTTGTGGAATGCAAAGGCTGGGAAGCATAGAGTCAATGGATCCATCAATTCGGACTACCTACCCAGGCATGGACCCGTACCTTACCGTGGCCATGACCTCAGTTCCAAGCCGCGACGCCGGGAAGACCCTCGTTGCAGCGCTCGGATGAACCTTTCCTGTGAGGGCTTCCTGCTGCGGCTGTCCAGGCGCATGGTGTTCCTCTTTAAGGGCGGGAGGGTTGAAATGCGAGATCGTGCAAATTATCGTGGGGCCGGCGCCAGTTCAGGCATGGTTGCCCAACTGATCCAGGATATCTTCTCTCGCCGCAGTAAGCATAGGCATCTAATGGGAGGCCGTTGGTTTCTCGACCATGGTGTGTATCCGTACGTACATGCAATCTATCTGGTCTGTAAGCTGAGGGGCGGGTCGCGGGAGGCCCCAGAGAAATAAGAGTATAGGATCCAGAGAAAAAGATTAATGTTATTGTAAATGTAACGGACAGGCTGGCGTGAATCGAGGGCGGTGCTTCTGTTGGATCCCGCCTCTTTCAATGCGCCTGAATTTCTGAAGGAAACTCCTCAGTCTTGCCAGTGACCCCCTTCCAGCCTTCTGCAAAGTCGGGCAGAGTAAGAGTAACCTTGAGCTAGCGGCGGCAGTGCGAACGCTGCTTCCGTACCTTGCCTTAGTGAGGTACTTTATTACTTGCCTTAGTAGCGAAAGTACCGAAGTAGCGTCGTATCGAGTGGATGAGCATCGTCTCTGGTGTTGAAACCATCATGACAGGAGGTTAAAAAGACAAGACCGAAAGGTGTTTGTGATCATGAAAAAGGTGATGATGAAAGGGTTTTTAATCATACACTCCGTTCACTAGGTGTCAATTACGGTGTCTACAAGCTATGAGTATGGTGTTGGCAAGGGATGTTTCGATGACAAAGTACCTGTGCCGTATCATCACTTTGGACAGGAGGCAGGGACCGTAGGGTACTTCGTAGGTAAGGTAAGCATGAGCAACATCAACAGAGAAAGGACACGGCCCCGACAGGCGCCTTCTCAAACACGCTGTCGTCATTTTGTCGCTATTGCCCAGGGACCTCATTTTGTTCTTTTTTCTGCAACAAACAAGACGCAGACTGCAGTTCTAAAATGCCGTATCCGAGTGTATCTTGCTAAAGCTTCCAAGCCAATCCTGCTCATCTTACCGAGTCCTAGTACTACATTTGAATGACATGATTAGACATTAGCCAGTATTTCGAAGTATCTGTAATGTGGTGCGGAAGATATACAGAAGGAAGGTACAAAAGGTACATGGCCATGGGAGCACTTGCCTTGACAACCGCCGCAGGAACGCCTCGCAACCGGGGACCCTGGGAAAGCGAGACACCACCTCCCCGATACTCCAATGCTTCCCCCCTCCGTCTCTCTGCGAAAAGGTACATTTCCACCCCGTGCCTTACATGCGCGAATCGAGGTACCCGTCCCCGGGCGCTCGTCCAACAACCCAATCCCGTCCACGCATCCCGCCCAGTCCAGTCAAAATCCTCCTTCCCCCAGTCATCCGTCTTGTCTTAATTCACTTGCGCGTTGCACCGCATCCGACAGCGCCTCCTGCTCTCTTCTTTTCCACTAGCAATTCCCTCCTAATCCACACGCCCGTACGAATACCTACCGCACCGCACCGCACCGCACCGCACCGCACACATCGCTCCTTTGGTGTGTGGACTGTGGACGCGTGCATGAGCCAGACCTCTTCCTCGCTCTCTATCTCTTACTCTTTACGAATATTCTCCTCCCACTCAACTCACTCTCCTTAAACCAAGCTGCTCAACCTTGCTCCGAACCCTGACCGGCACGGCCATAATACAAACTGCCTAGACAAGAGAGAGCTCGGCTCAACCTCCCCCCCTCCAGCATCAGCTTCCATTTGCATCCCCACTGCCGCACTCCGTCAACTGCCACCAATAGACGCTGTGTTCTGGAAACACCTGCGATCTCCCCTTAACGGCTGCTCTATTGATCTTTCTACCCGGCATTGCCCAACGCGCGGTTCTACTTCCTTTCTTATTCTCTCCTTTTTCCTCTCTCTCTCCTCTCTCTCTTTCGGTTACCACTCCCCTTGGAACTCGGCTCACTCCGTCCTGCGCGCACCGAACCCCTCGAAATTGCAGTGGACTGTCCTCTTGTCACGGAAACCAACTCGAATCGTCCGCTCTCGCGCATAGCCTGGCCCGCCGAAACTGTCGATCAACATTGAGCCGAAACGTGCGGAATCCCAGCATACAAGACCACAACCCCCCGCCAACCCTTGGCCTTAACGACAACGTCAGCTATGCGCCTGTTGTAGTCTGTCCAATTTCGTAAAGCTGTGGAGCTACACCTAATTTTCTCCTTTACGGTAACCTGATGCGATCCAGAGCCGCTTAGGAGCTGTTACCGCGAAACCAACACTTTTCCGACCTCGAACCACCCATCTTTAACCCAACACACACCCCCAAAAACACACCCGACTGAAACTCGCACATTGCGCCACTGAATTCGAAAAGTCGACGACACGATTCCGACACGAGAAGTGGTGGCATAGCAGACGATGGCAGGATATCCGGGTCAGCGTCCTTACGGCGGTGGCCCTCCCGCGCCTCGTCCTGGCCCTGGACCCGGCCCAGCGCCCGCGCAGCGGGGTCCTCCTCAGCAGTACGACAACTACCAGCAGGACGGATATGGCTACGACTACTACGATGACGGCGGCTACGACCAAAACTATGGCGGACAGTATCAGGACCCCAATTACGGCAGAGGTCCGCCGCCGAACCAAGGTTACCCGCCGCAGGATTACTATGGTGGCGGCCCAGGGCCCAATGGCCCGGCAAGAGGAGGACGACCGCCTCAAATGGGAAGAGGCGGCCCTATTGCACGTCCTCCGACGGCAGATGGCAATCGCGGCGGATACCCGCCTCGTGGCGGTGGCGGTCCCGGTCCTGCAGGCCGAGGAGGATTCCCCATGGGCCGGGGCGGTCGTCCCGCTCCTTTCGAGCGATCAGCCAATTCGGATCCAGCCGGTGAGTTGTGCGTGTGCCATGGCGCCCTCGTATGCTGACCATTTGCTAGCAAATCGCCCTCGACAGCAGGAACACGCACCGATCAGTCCTCCTGGCGCCCAGGGATTCAGTGGTGGCGCATTTCCATCATTTCCAGGGCAGAGCCGTAAGACGGACCTTGATGCGGAGAATGCGATTCTGAACAAGATGGCTGGAATCGACATCTCGTCCCAACCTATGCAGCAGCGCCCTCCTGGTGGAGCCCCCAATGGTAGAGCGCCGCCGCCGCGTGGTTACCCCGACCCGCGACGCGGCCCTGAGCCGGGTTACGGACAAGATTTCCGAGGAGACGGCTACGGCCAGCAAGGGCCTCCAAGGGACGACTTTGGTCCACCTTCTAGGAGTATGACTATGCCAGTTAACGACCAAGCACAACGGCGCGGCCCCCCGCCACGCCAGGACACATATGGTGGACCAGGGGGCCCGCCACGTGGTGGTGTTCCTCCTCGGCCTTCAACGGCGCAAGGAAATCGGCCGCCACCCCAGCGCATGTATCCCCCAAACCCGATGCCTCCGCCGCCGCAGCAGCAGCAGCAGCAGCAGCCGCTCCCGCCTCAGCATGGAGGGTATGGAGGACCTGGAGAATTCGGAGGTGATCAGGACGGGTACCGAGACACTAGGGCGTCATTCGGCGATGTCTACGACGCCTATTACCAGCCCTCTCGCATGAGCAACCAGAGCGCCCACAGTTACGGTCACCATGATGCTCCTGAGTATAATGGGGCACCCTCGCATGCTCCTCGCGGTTCTTTCGAGCAGCACATGCGCCCAGGCATTGCCGAACACACGCAGCCGGGCGCAAAGCGCGTTCCGGAAATGAGTCGAACAAAATCGCAGCCAGATCTTCGGCAGTCGCAACAGGCTGTCTTTGAGATGGCCGGCGACGCTCCTCCGATGCCGCCAATGGGTAATGGCTACCAGGACGCGTACAATGAGCCCAATGGCTGGGACCAACCACAGAACCCGCAAATGGGCCGTCCTGGCCTTCCTCAAGGCCCTTCTCCTAATCGAGGCCCTGATTCTCTGCCATCTCATCCGGCTCCCGTCCGACCTGGCCACATGCCCAACTCCATGGTCAATATGAACGACAAGCCAGCACCTGTCCGCAACTATGCCGGCGCCCCTGGCGTGCACGTACCGACACCTCCTGCTGGGTCTGGCGGCGCACCTCCGCCGCAACAGCAGATGCTTCCTCAGCAACCAAGCAAGGCTTCGCTTCAAGAAACAACACCTGTCACACAGGAAGAGCTAGAACGTCTACGCCAGGTTGTTAAATCAACACCGAATGATCAAGAGACTGCCATGAGACTGGCGAAGCGCCTGGTAGAAGCGGCCGACGTTCTGGCCCCGAATCTTGCCGATCCCAAGATGAAGACTCGTGCCCGGGAGAGATATCTTGCTGACGCAAACAAGATTCTCAAGAAGCTGTCGAGTGCGCAGAATTCCGAGGCCATGTTCTTCTATGCTGACTGCCTAGGCCGTGGGTTGTTTGGACTTGAACCTGATAACAAGGAGGCCTTCACCCTGTACCAGTCGGCTGCTAAGCTCGGACATGCGGCTGCGGCGTACAGAACGGCGGTCTGCTGTGAGATTGGTCACGAAGAAGGTGGCGGCACAAGAAAAGATCCTCTCAAGGCGATTCAATGGTACAAGAGAGCCGCCACGCTCGGCGACACGCCAGCCATGTACAAGGTCGGCATGATCTTGCTCAAGGGCCTTCTTGGCCAGCCAAAGAATCCTCGTGAGGCTGTTGGGTGGCTTAAGAGAGCTGCTGAACGAGCTGACGCGGAGAACCCCCACGCATTGCACGAGTTAGGTCTGCTCTACGAATCTGCAGCTCCGAATGATGCCATCATCAAGGACGAGGCCTATGCCTTCTCGCTGTTCCGACAGGCGGCCGACCTCGGCTACAAATTTTCACAATACCGTCTCGGCTGCGCATTCGAATATGGTTTGATGGGCTGCCCCGTTGACCCCCGCCAGTCCATCATGTGGTACTCCCGCGCAGCTCAGCAAGGCGAGCACCAGTCCGAGCTGTCACTCAGTGGATGGTATCTTACCGGGACCGACAATGTCTTGCAGCAGAGCGATACGGAGGCTTATCTGTGGGCGCGCAAGGCCGCCACAGCTGGTCTGGCCAAGGCGGAGTATGCGATGGGTTACTTTACCGAGGTGGGCATTGGTGTGCCGGCCAACATGGAGGATGCAAAGCGATGGTATTGGAGAGCAGCTGGTAAGTTGCAATTATTTCCATGTGATGACGTTTACTGACCCTCTACAGCCCAAGATTTCCCCAAGGCCCGCGAACGGCTCGAAGATCTCAAGCGCGCCGGCAAGAACGGACCCCGACAGCGCGAGCGTATATCTCGCAGCAAGATAGGCAAGCAACAAGAGGGCGAGTGTTCCGTCATGTAGACGGCGAGTCAGTACCCAAGGCAACAACTTGATGTAATACGAGCGGTCCGGGCTGGGTTCCTGTGTCGACCGTGACGACGACCACGAACAGAGGACGAAGAGACGACGACGAGGTACAACCCCGTGTACTTGTACGGCACCAACCGACTACAGGATGTTTGATCTACACGGAACGAACAGCAAAGAAAAGGCTCACGGACGAAGGAAGAGAGTGGAAAGGGCCACACAGGCGTTCTGGACAAAGGGTAGTCTAATTTCCTCCGCCGGATGGGAGGCTCCTTTGTTGGATTGGGAGGCCACTCATATTCTCCTTCTCCCCCTCACAGGCCCACGGAATGAGAAAGGCTCTGATGAGGGGCTGGATTTCAAGCATTCATGTCAAAATCTCGTCCGAGGGCGGGTTGGCATGGCTCATACAGTCGATGTTAGGCGTTTAGCATATATAATTATTCGTCAATTTGTTGTTTGATGACTTTGGTGCTCTCTATTGGTTGACATTTTTTGTGAACTACCAACAGAAGCCATGGAGCGGGCTATTGATGTGCGTTGAGTTCGTGACGGCTGCTCTCCACTGGTTTCTGCTACGAAATCGATGCATCACGACGGCGTTACCTTTGCTCTAATTCTAGTAGCTGGGTGATGTGTATTCCAAGCTCGGAATCGGAAGAGGTGGAAAGGGGATTCGTTGCGGCTGCCAGCGGTTGAGTCTTGTTTCGGTTTCGGTCTCGGGTGGTTGAGACTGAGGCTGAGGCTGATTGATGCCCTTTCCGCTCTTAGATGATTTTGTTTGGGGTGATGAGGGGTTCTTGGCTGCGTTATTTGTCATTTGTAGTTTAGGGTAGTTGAGGCGAGGCAGACTGGTCTTGTCTAGGTGAGGTACCTTGGACAAGGTATGTTGGGCGCTGAGGGAAGTTCGTTTGGGGTTCGTGAAGACCGCGGCCGGGGAGTTTCGGGGACGGTCGGTGCGGGGTTGGTTGGCCGGAACCGGAGCCGAAGGGTGCGGATGGCCCCGGGGCTGAGGACAAGGGCCCACGCCGGACGTGCACCGGCGGTTCGCCTTCTCGGAGTACCTTGGCGTAATATTCTACTTACATTGTCGATTGATGACCGTAAACATGATGTGTTATATCTTCGGAGAAGCTAGCCTTTCCCTTTTCGAATCAAAGCCGCGGTTGGAATATTGATCATAGAAAAGGTGAGTGAAATAAGGTGTTGCAAAGGGTCCTTCCACCACCTACTTCCATTTCGGGGGATCAAAAAGCTTTGCCCATCTTTTCCTTTTTCTACATACCGATACATACGCAGATCAATACTAGATCACTGAGCTTGATATCGGCCGAAAGGCTGGCCTGCTGCTGTGAACACCAACAGCCGTGTACGTGCAGTCGGAGCTTCATGCAAGGGACATGACTTCCTTAGCGATGTATGAATCAACGGAAAGAGCAAACCTGCATCCTCCCTTCCCTGGGTACCTACCGTACCTTCCTTCCAAAACACGGCCCTGGGGAAGACTATTTGCCCCTCCTCAATCCCATTCCTGTCACGAGTCAGCAGGCGCCCCCCTTGGGGGGTCGGGTCAAAACTGGCTGGGTGGTGGAGTGGTTTGAGTCCACGAACAGCCTAATCGGTGAAGGTTTAGAGGTCCCGTGTTTGAGTCCCAGCTTATGCGCCAGAGATGTAGCCCCCAGCTCGCCACCGGGGAGGGTGAACTCTTCTGTCTTTTTTGGGTTGAGTTTTGAGTGATGGACATATGTCGTGGATATAGGGGGGAGTATGAGGCCCGTGGCTTGTTATCTTGGAGTTTTGTTATATCTTGCCCCTTTCTACTCGCTGCTTCAAAGCTCCCTTCCATACCTCGTCTTCCATCGAGATATCACTGACCAACGAAACGTGAACTTAGGGATAGATCAGAGAATCAGAAAAGGCCACGCGGAATCCTGAACATCAAAATTAGATACGTACTTGTTTACTCCTCTTTCTTCAAGTGAAGTTATACATTCCCGAATCTCTCCAAGCTACCTACACAAGCGACATCAACACAGTCACAGTAGCAGAAACCAGTAAGACCTCCCAACTCAACGAACCCTCGTCGAACGCCGCACTCGATGCAACCCGAGTCGAATTCACCCTCATACAATGAATATTCGGCCTCGCCAGTCTGACATTAAATCTCTCCTCCCCAACCCACGTATTGAAAATAAGAATCTGCACACGGTTCGAAGCATTCAGGTACGTCTGCGTCGCATCCCCGCTATCAACCAACCCGCTCCCGAACCCCATCATCTCACTCCCACTCGTGACCGGGTCCCCCGTCGTCGAGGTGGAGTTCCCCGTCACGTTGGGGTTGAGATTACTCGTCCTAGCACCGTATATCACCGCACCATACCCAAACGTAGCATTACACTCCGGAATCGTCCTCCACGAGGGCTTCCTACCCGCGCAGCCTTTCGCGGTGAGTGTTTTATCTTCGACACGGAGGGCGTCGAGACATGATTCGCCGAGGACAGGTTCGCAGTCTGTGCTGTTGCTTTCTGCCTCGGTCCAGAGGTTCGTCACGTTGGGGAAGAATTCGACGTCTAGGGATGTTACGCAAAAAGGGGAATCGGAGCCGCGGAGACCGCCGGCTGAGATGTTTCCCCCGCGGGGCCAGGAGAGAGAGTAGGAGGTCGCGATGTAGTGCGGGTTTATGATGTTTCGGCCTAGGTTTTCCGAGGTGGTGTTTTGGGCGAGGTGGAGGAGACTGAACTCGGATATATTTACGCCTAGAAGAAAGATGTTAGTTCATGTTCGGTGATTAGTGGGAGGGGTATAGCATGAGCATACGCCATGTCCATTCGTCTGGTCCGAGTAACGGAGCGTTGCCTGTGAATACCTCAAAGGGGCGGAACGATATTTGACGTGTGGCATTGGGCTTTGCTATCGCATGTTGGAGAATCTCAATGGATTGGTTATCGAATACTCTGGGCGGCGTTGCTCCGAATGTCTGATCGCGGTCGTTCCAGTACGTAAAGGGCGTTGAAGCGCGAGAGAGTAGGAGACCTGCGATGGGGAGTTTCATTATGATTTTTTTTATGATAATGAACTTGGGCTTGAGTATGTGACATAGGCCTGAGGTGTGAGAGTTTCACGATGATTCATTCGCAACGTGCTTATAAGCTTATAGAGGTTCAGAGAGAGAAGCTCTCGAGGGATTTCGCCCCGGGCGCAAGCCCGCAGATCATGCCGATCCTGTCAGCCCTACGCCCGGTAGACATCTGGGGTATCTGAGACCACTACGTGCGCCCAGGCACTATGCGCTACCTATGATGGCATTTCCAGTGGCATTAAAATGGCATAGGTAGTCGTTTGAAGAATGATTTGGTTCTATTACCTACCATCTATCGCTTGCTTATTCACGGGTGAATATGCATACGAGACCTTCCTCCACTGATGGGCAAGGCTACATATATGTTCGCCTGATACCTTTACAAAGACGTACCCTTACTTAGGTCGTTGAGACCATCGAGATCATACGGAGTTTTAGTCCCGTTGCCTGTCGTGTGGGTGAGATACACGTTGTCCAGATCCCCCAATCTGGCAAGCCTGACGAGTTTCTCAAGAGGGCGCCCTCAATGTGACTTTATACGTCGTTGGACCTGCTCTAATACTCCTATGCTCTTGGAACCTCATTGTAAAGACGTTCAAATATCTTTTCTACTCCATGAATCGCGTATAAGTGAAGAAAGTTAAAAAATTTATGTACATTATATCACTGTGAGACTATTTGCTACTGAGTCGCCCGCCACCTAATCCCACCTCTGACTCTTCCCGCTCTCCACATCCGTCAAAAGCACAAATTCAGCCTCAGACCTCTTTGGCGTAAGCCGACGATTAAGGCCACTGGACCCAGTCGCCACCGCCGAGTGCGAGTTGCCGGTACCCCCCGAGCTCGACGAGGCGCCGGACAGCTTGGACTTGACGGCCGACCAGGCGGCATTCTGTGACAGGGCGCTGGAGAGGAACTTGTAGACTGCCGGTAACGAGGCGGTGATGATGCCGGCTTAGAGCTCGATTGTGCTCCAGTAGGCGGCGTCAACGTAGTCGTATGTGATGTTCGTCGAGTTTGCGAAGACGACGAGGGTGCGGAGGCGGATTACGCTGGCGAGGGTGACGCTATGGAGGGCCAGTGAGCCTCACGTCTGGTTGACACGGGGTATAGATGGTGGACTACGCAGAGGAGGGGAGTCGGGACAGGGGAGAAACTTACAAGATACCCATGGAAAATACAACCATGACCATGAGCTTCTTCTTCAGGGGCATCTGCAGCTGGTAAAGCTGATGCAAGGGCAGCGCGAGGATAACGATATCCAGCACGATGTTAAAGGCGGCGCTCAGCCACCCCTGGAGATGAATGTTGTTGCAGCGACCCAGGTGGTCCGACTCGAGCTGCAGCCAGGCGTGGTTGATGGGCCAGCACTGGAAGAGAGTAGCAAAGAAGAAGGCGGCGGCGTAGGCTAGGGTGAGGCCGATTGTGACCCAGATGGCCTTGCCGAGGCTGTTGTGCTGGAAGATGCGGTGCAGGAAGAGGAGGATGGAGACCTTGTTCATCGCCTGGGCGAGGAAATAGAAGAGCTCGCCGAGGAAGTAGAACTGGTGGTGAGAAACGTTGGTGTTAGTCGTTGTTCTTTGTTGGGACGAGGAATGGGCGAGACTACTTACAAATAGTACGTTCTCGACGTTCTTGAGGGGCAGAGTCCAGATGTCCTTTCCCAAACCATTTGCAGACACTGCAACAGTCAGTCTCTATTTACACAGGATACCTATGGCTTTGTCGATAGGGCACCTACGTGTGAAGGCAAAGACGGTTGGCGGGATCGTGAGAAGAACGCAAGCAGTGATGGTCCAATCGTCCCAGCTGAGTTCTCTGTTGCATCCAGGTAGGGCAGAGCACATGCGAAGGATGTAAACGATGAGAGCCAGGCCAAATCCTACACCCGCAACGAGAGGAGGCTTCATCGTGTCATCTCGCACAGGAAGCCCGCACATGGTAGCCGAGCCATTCTTGGTTTCTAGCACAGGATCAAAACGAGTCAGTCAAAAGTTCCGTGTGAGATAGTGAGACCCCTTATCCGGGTCTTCAAGCAACAGCAAGGCAAAGACACTCACTGAGGGCATCCTCGTAGTTACATCCCTGCAACACGCAGACGGACAGGTTGGCGTTGAGCTCCTCGTTGGTGCAAAGACACGCAGTGTCCGTGAGCTGGCAACCCGACGTCGGGACAAGCTTGGTGAGACAGACGAGCTGTAGTCGAAAAAGGATGGGGTGCCGCACTGATCAGCCAAAAAACGCACCGTCTCGACGCTAAGCGCGGGAGATCCGCCCACTATTTTACTTACTGCGCATTCCGGGTATAGTTTCTGAGCCATGGCCAACGCTTCCGCGGCTGAGGTCGCGGCTTGGGCCGTGGAGGCAAAGGCCGCGAGGGCTATGGCCGTGGCCGCCAACATGCCTGAAAGCTTCATGGCGACCGTGATTCTGAGGGAGGGAGGGAGGGAGGATATCGTACGAGAAGGTGGGAAAGGATGGGCAAGGTAAAGTCGCAAGCGGGATTCCGGGTTTCCTTTTCAAGTATGTAAATCGTAGCCGAGAGAGAGACGGAGTTCCCTAGACCGGGTTTAGAGGAGAAGAAGAAGGGGTTGTTACTTTTAACCTCATATCGTGGCTTGCGTGCCGTTCTTCCTCTGCGTAGCTAGTTCGTCTCATAGATGGCGGCATCTGCCGTGATCCTTGGCTCACGGATTCGTCTCTCGCTGGGAGTCTGTGCCTGAATTTCTTCATTCTGGAGTCACTCTGGAGTGGGCGAGTCATTTCTGCGTTGCCTTTGGGCTGTCGATCTTGCTTTGGATCGCCGTCGAGCCCCTGGTGCAGTTGGGAAGATGGATTCCGCAAGGAGTCTGAGGAGACTTGGATGTGGCCTGCGCCGGATGCAGATGCCGGTCATAAACGGTTCGCTAGAGTCCTCGACAAGCAAACTTACGAGTAAACTTTCCGAAAGAGTGGTCCGATTTCGTAGCGGCGGCAGTTGGCTGCGTAAAGCCAAAATCTCTTCATCTCTCCATCTCTCGCCTGTCGACGTATAAACCGTTGAGCTCAATCCCAAAGCAGTTAAATTGTCACGATGGGAGAGAGGGGAGGGGTTCGTGAGTGGCCAATGAACCGCAGGGGATCGCTAACATGCTTTTCGCTATTCCTAGTATTCTGTATATGCACTGCAACGGCAGTAAGAGTGAGATCAACGGTTCTTCAGACCGGGGCCAACCCGACAACAAGGAGGCGGTAAGTGCTTAGGCGCCTGATCCGTCTGTTCTGTCTCCAGTCTGTCTTCCGTCTGTCTTCCGTCTGTCGTTCGTTGCGTGAATCGTAACGGAATCGAAGCAATGGGCCCCTCTAGAATCTCCATCCCGTCATCCAAAGAGCGTTCGGACAATGGAGCCATGTGTAGGGCTATCGTTTCTCAATCCGTGACCCCTGACTATGGATGCATCCACGTCGGATTTTGTTCTCTCGAGTCTCGGCAAGGTTCTGCCATGTTTGCTCTGTTGCTTTGTCGTAGTCTGTAGAGCTTCATTGGTGTGGGCAGCAATTTTCCCCATTGGCGGAGCAGGATCCGGGGGTGGTGTTTTGACGTTTTTGACAGGACCCATGTTTTCTTTCATTTCGTCTATGACCCTTGTCGAGTCTTTGACAGGCATCCCGAACGTCGTCGGCGCCAATGTCACCTTGAGTTAGGAAAGGAAACTGGCAGATCAAAGCATCTTTTCCCTATGTCTCACTTTCGTCCGTTCCCCCTTCGTGAGAGTGCCGGCTTCGCGGGAGATGATGCCTCTCATCACATCAGCATCGCCAATCAGTGGAGTTGCGTTCGAAATGAGTCCGAAAAGGAGGATTCTCATGAATCCATACTTAACATTTGGGGCCTGACTTTTTGAGTCGCATCTTCTGTCTTGGTTCCACCAACTCTTAGCCATTTGGCAGTAGTCATTCCTTTGCATCTCAACAAACTCGCCGGCTAGTCGCTCATTTGATCGTGTTTTTGCTTTCGATTGCATTCTAATTAGCTTCATTGGAGGTGACAATGAAGTTCCTTTTCTCCGTTGCGGCGCTTTTCGCGGCTGCTCATGCGGCGTAAGTTCTTATACCTAGTCTTAGTCATTACTTACACACTTATCGTGTGATTCTGTTGGCTTACACAGCGTAGCTTCGACCAACCTCTTGGTCCGACACTCAATGCCACGGGACCTTCAGCCAACTCGACGTATGACTACGTCGTAGTCGGCTCCGGGCCCGGCGGTGCTCCCCTCGCAGCCCGCCTAGCCATGGCCGGCTTCAGTGTCCTACTCATCGACGCCGGTGAGGACCGTGGAGAAGACCCGGCTGTCCAGGTGCCGGCTCTCCACGTTCTGGCTTCTCAACATCAGCCTATCGCATGGGATTTCTTCGTCAACCACTACTCTGATCCAGAGCAGGCCAAGAGAGACAGCAAGATGTCTTATCGAAAGCCGGATGGAGAGATCTACGTTGGCCTCGATCCACCACAGGGGTCTGAGCAGTTGGGAATTTTGTATCCTCGAGTTGGTGCTCTTGGTGGTTGCTCCCAGGTAAGCTGTCTCAGCCTAGACTGGTGGTCCATTGGCTGATAATTGCGAAGCACAATGCTCTCGTCACCATTCTCCCTCAGGATAGTGACTGGAACAACATTGCCACCATCACTGGTGACAGCTCGTGGGAGGTAAGAACTAAACAAATTCCTAAGCCATATTTGGAAAATGCTAACAACAAGGGGGCACAAAGGCTTCCAAGATGCGAGAGTACTACAAGAAGCTCGAGAAGTGCCACTACCTCCCCGGCGGCCTCGATAGCTCCGTACATGGCTACGACGGATGGCTCGAGACTCAAACGACCCCCCCAATTCTTATCGTTCAAGACCAAAAGGTGCTGTCTTTGGTCCTCGCTGCCGCCACCACCATGGGCAAGTCACTCCTCGGCAAGCTAGTCAACACCGTCACTGGCCTCCTCGAAATCTTGGCCGTCGACGTCAACAACGACTCACCCGACCGTGACAGCGGAGAAAAGATCTACCAGATCCCCCTCTCCATGAAGGACCCTTCCTTCACTCGCTCATCCCCTCGTGACTTCATCTTCGATGTTGTCACTGCGACCAACGATGACGGATCCAAGATGTACAAGTTGGACGTGGCTCTCAACACGCTCGTGACCAAGGTCAACTTTGACACGACGGGTGATAAGCCCAAGGCAACTGGCGTTGAGTACCTCGTGGGCAAGAGCCTGTACCGTGCCGATCCCCGTGCCACTAAGGAGGACGGCGGCGTCCCCGGACGCGTGTTTGCCAGCAAGGAAGTCATCGTGTCCGCGGGAACTTTCAACACCCCTCAGCTGCTCAAGCTCAGTGGCATCGGTCCTGCTTCAGAACTCGAATCCTTTGATATCCCCATCGTCAAAGATCTCCCTGGTGTAGGCGGCAACATGCAAGACCGATACGAGGTCGGCATTGTGGGCAAAGCGCCCACTGACTTCTCTCTCCTCGAAAAATGCACCTTCCTCGACATGAACGGCACCCACGACGGCGAGGACCCCTGCTTCTCCCAATGGCAGTCCGGCATCGGCGGCCTCAAGGGCGGCTACACCACCAACGGCATCGCCTTCGGGTACTTCAAGCACTCTTCCGTCGCAGAGAACGGCAACCCAGACCTCTTCCTCGGCGGTGTACCGGCCTACTTCAATGGATACTTTCCCAACTACGCGGAACACGCCCTCGCCGACCTCAGCGTCTGGACCTGGCTTACTCTCAAGGGCCACAGCCGCAATAACGCTGGCGTGGTCAACCTGACGAGCACCAACCCGCGCGACATGCCCAACATTACCTTCCACAGTCTGTTTGAGGGCATAGGTGGCGACGAGGATCTTCAGGCCGTGTACGAGGGAATGCAGTACGGCATCGAAGCGTTTGAGAACCTGATTCCGCTAGACGGCTCTTTTGAGCGCATCTGGCCGCCCAAGGAGATCTCATCCGAGGCTGACCTCAAGCAGTTTGCCAAGGACGAGGCCTGGGGTCATCATGCTAGCTGTACTGCACCTATTGGTGCCGATGATGACCCGCTTGCCGTCCTGGATTCCAACTTCAAGGTCCGTGGAGTCGATGGGTTGCGCGTGGTCGATGCCTCCATCTTCCCCAAGATTCCTGGGTTCTATATCGTTCTTGGTATCTACATGGCGAGCGAGAAGGCTGCTGATGTGATCATCGCAGAGGCAAAGGCGGCGTAGTGTGTCAAAGTTCGCCGTTGTTGGACGTTGATAAAACCGGGTTGCCTTGGAAGTGTCAAAGAGCCCGGGATTCTTAGTAGCATCATATTACATGATGTGCATAAAACTACAACCAAATTCTGATTCACTTGTTTTTCAGAAGTCAAACAAGGCATGCAAGCGAACTGTGAAACTGCCTCAAGACTTGTTGGAGATCCTGCCAAAGTGTGATTTCCTTGAAGCTCGTTTGAGACCGCGTTGAAGTTAGCTTGAATTGATAAAGAACTTTCTTCAAGACGCCTTTCAGATGTAGGCTTTGATGTTGAAAGTTGAAAGTATGATCAAGGTCAGCTGCCTAGCCGCGCATGCGGTTCTTTGAACATGCCTACCTCAGCTAGAAGCACCTGCCGATCCCCAAAAGCCTTCTTCACAGGCCTTCTGGAGGCATATAATGTTGCCCTTATCCTCACAACCTCCAGGAGTTGCCCTTTGCCCTATAGTCGACCGCAGCAAGATCAATCGACAGTTGAACTCGCCTTCAGAAACATGCTTCCCCGATCAGCAGCTTCAGCAGCTTCATTGAATGAGGACAACCGCTGGTGCCTGCGATGCCTCGGTTTCTACGCTGGCGTCTACCGTGCTAAGAAGAAGCCGCCTGCGAACTACTATTGTGAGAGAAGACGTATGTATTGCGCAGTACCCGATTCATTGACGATTTGCTAACTCGCGCTTCAAATCTCCAGTTTTGAAATGCGGAAGATATGCCGGAATCAACAGAACGAAAAAACCCTGTCTCATGGTACCAGTTCGTCTCTTTTATGATTGTTCTGAGATACTAATTTCTATCTAGATTCAAAAGGAGCAGTGGCCCCAAGCAATGAAGATTATCGAGAAGACCAGGGCGGTCATGCTGGCGGAACAGTCTGAAGGCGAAATTTTTGGCCAGGCAAGTTCAAAACGCATATAGCCGAATCTTCTCGCTAGACTTCTGCTCACGGTCGTTATTAGGACCGGAAAGCCATTAAAGACCTTTATAGGCATGTGGATAAGGCGACTAGAGCTTACCATGAAGCGCGTTTGCGAGAAGATCAACAGTCATCGGCTTCGGAAGCTGACACTTCGATGGCCTGTGACCTGGCGTCTGACGACGAAGAGATGGGCGAGATCCATTGCGCCCCGATCTTCGCAGGACCAAGTGTAAACGGCCGTCCGACTGCCACCGCCGGCCTTGAAAATATCTCGAAGGCCTTCGTCGATGGCAGAAGACTCAAAGATGAACAGGCAGAAGCCTCGCGCCGCTTGGGAAGAGAAATCTGGACTGCGGGACGGGACCCGCAAGCGACTGGGCCTTCGGATGATTTGGTTCGGCTCGTGGTTGAAAAGCTATACGGTGACGCCCGTCAGAATGATGCCCGGCACGATATCTCTCACGCCTTCAAGGCTGTCGACAGCGCTCACGACGCCCTCGAGGATGCCTTCCGCCAGTTGGGCGACGCCGCCCTCACCATCATGCCGGCCAGCTCCAGGCCTAAGGGACCGGGCTCGTCGGGTTCAGGTCGGGCGTTCAACGGCCATCATTGATTTTATGAGACGCCAACCTCAGCCTGTCCACCACACCTCTTGATCCTCCGCTAGACTGTGTTTTCTTGGATCGTGCTGGTAGAATCTTTGGAGGGGTCAGTGGTAATCCGGTGGGGGCATTCAGAGTGAAGAAAGGTGTGGAGATGGGATTGACTTCAGCTGATCGTACCTTAATTATGCGCCTACAAGACCCCTGTCATTAGCAAGCATCGAGCCCAGCCAAACCCATTAGGCGATTCGTGATTCGCATTTGTTTACGTTGCACCAACAGACTGGTGCAATTCGCTGTCAAGTTATGAATCCATGCTAAGAACCAGATGAAAGTCTAGACCAATGTTTAAGAGAATTGATCTGCACCATGTCGTTGCTGCCAAGGTTTCCTCGCGGAACGTTTGGTCCGTACTTCAGCCACATCACATGCAGCCACAGGCAAGTCAAGCTCCCGCCACACCACTACGTCATACAGCCATCACCAAACCAAAGCGAGGGAGCTAGCTCTACGTACCTCAGCTGCCATAGCTTGCCTATGGCAGGCACGCAGGAGTCAGATCACGATCCTCGGCGCCAAATAAATACGCCAAAGCTGTACCTTGGCCAAGCCACGTCTCATAAACCTTTCCCCAGCTTCTCCTCCTCCGCGTCGTTCTGTCTACTAGCACCAAACTCACATTGAAAGCCTCTCCTACAACCTCAAACGACACCTCGACGAAAGCTATACCTACGATGTCTGACGAACGAACTGTTTCCCAGGGCCAGGCTTCCAGCTCCGGCGGAAGGAACAGAATGGTCGACTCTGTGCAGACCAAGGCCCAGGAAGTTCTGTACGTGTTCTCTACCATCTCGCGTACACACGCTTCAATCTAACATACGTATGACAGGCAAGAGGACTACGACAAGGCCAGAGGTTTGGTCGCCGATGCTGCCAAGAGCAAGGCCTACCTGTACCCCATCAAGGGAATCATCTACTTCGCAACCCACCGAACGCTCTGGAAGCCCCTCTTGTCGCGCATCGGATCTTACCTGCTCCTATCTGCCGGTGTCGTCACTGGCATGTTCGTTTTCACCTACGTGCCACAGCTTGCTCTCCTCGTTTTCGTCAACGGCCCGCTAGCTGTCTTCACCACCGTCCTTTTGATCCTGAACGAGAGTTCGGCAATCATCAACTTCCTCTCGCGATCCTTCCTACTCCAGGATGCGATCTTGGACACCTTTGATGGCACTCTTCTTCTCAAGGATGAGGACGGTATTGTGAGGGAAGGCAGACAGCTCAGGCCCGGGTCTGACCCCATGCAGAAGCTGGGCAAGGTTCTCAAGAGCCCCTTTGAGAAATACAGCCCCAAGGCTCTCATCAGATACCTCATTTACCTGCCCTTGAACTTCATTCCTGTCGTGGGAACCGTCATCTTCATCTCTCTCCAGGGTATGACTTGCAGGCCGCTTCCGGGTACTTCAAAGCTAATGTTTCTATAGCTCGTAGCAGAGGCCAAGCCGTCCACGGCCGTGTATGTTTCCTCCTTTCCAGATTCCCGGATGTCATGCTGACCATGCAACCCAGTACTTCCAACTCAAGAACTGGTCGTCTTCCAGAAGAGCCGACTGGCTGAAGAGACACGCCGGACCTTACACTGCGTATGTTTGGGGTCCATCCGCGCATGTGTTCTGTGCATTTCACTGACTTCTGTCACAGCTTTGGCCTAGTCGCAACCGCCCTCGAGATGATTCCCTTCGCTAGCGTTATCTTCACATTCACAAACGCAGGTATGTTTGGCGAAGATTGAACTTTCGTCTCCTGCAATCACTGACAGCTGTATGCAGTTGGAGCTGCTCTCTGGGCCGCCGATATCGAGGCCAAGGATACTTCCATGACGGATAGCACGGCTCCCACGCTTCGAGAGACGGCACAAAAGGCCGAGTAAACGACGGATGACTGCATCGTGGAATCATATCTCTAAGTTTTACGGCGGGATCGGCTTGGCATTAGGAGATATCGACCCCTCTTTTGACCGGATCTTCGTGCCACAGCATCGTGACAGCAGTGACGGATTCGGTGGAACATGGGCTGAAGCTTTCAGCTGAACAGCACTCACAATTCTCGTCGGTGTTGTTAGATGCGCGAGGCATATCCGACGAAGCGTACGCTTAGAAGCAATCGATGAAGAGGAGCTTCTTAGCTCCGAACGAACGCGAAAGAGAGAGAAAGGAACTTTGACCGTAATAACTAATTTACGAACTTTGATTTTGCGCGTCTCGGTACCCTTGATGTCCCACTCTCGAAGTTTTGCACTAATTTCGGCCGCTGCGACTGTTTCGAAGACAACAGCACCGACTTTGTTCTAGTTCTTAAAACACCAGCTGGATAACCGCGCTGCAGATCGAGACGTTTGCCACCTCGCACCCTATATTGACATGTGCTCCGGCGAAGCGGTCCATGTAATCAATCAAGCGAGACTCATCTGGCTCCAACATATACCAAACGAGAGCACAAGACATCGCGAGCCCCCGCACTAAGCCTGCCCATATGATGTGCTACTCGCTTCAGGAACAGGTAATCTTGTTTTGAGGTACACGGGTGGCTGCATGTCACGCATTGTCAAAGATCGGCTTCCATGGCTACGTCTGGTTACGTTTGTATTCGGCACCAGGGAATGATTAGGGGACAAGACTCGGTGCAAACACTCCAAGATCCCGCCGGAGAGACGCTCGAGTCTCGCCGACGAGTGTCTGTCTGGTTGGCCACCGGGAGGTGATCATGAGTGAGTGAAACCACGTCGGGATAACGTCCCGTGTCTGTGACTGCCACCATGCCACGCTGTGCTTGGTGGCTTGCGAGTGGATGTCAAAATGCGTGTTCTTCGGTAATATCTTACTCAGGGACAGACTCAGATTCGGAGGGGCATGACTGGTGATGCAAAACCTCTACATCAACACTGGCTTTTCATGGTCGACAAAGACGCCTCCCAAAGAGGTACGGGAAGAGAAGGCCGTTCTTCTGCTCGTTTCAGTGATACGGATGTATGGCATAGATGTGGTCGATGACCTCAAGCCGATCATCATATTGCTAACTCGTACCTGTACGTTGTGTCGGACTCGGTCTGGGGGTCGCATAGCAGCCGGGTATTCTTCTCTTGTGACCATCTGGTTGGCCTCGAGTACAAACCGCTCCATTCTTCGCAAGTTTCTAACATCGCTAACAGTGAATCCAGTGTTTAGGAGCTCATTTTTAACATGATTCCTCACCAACATAAGCACATACTTTGAAGGGTATTTTGACTGCCTCTCTTCGGCCCGCTTCGGCAATATTTCCCTGTTCCTAGTAAGACTGAACAAAGTAGAAGCTTACGATTCCTCGTGTGATAGAAAGTTGTCTTGCAAGATAACGCAGAAACCGGACTGACAGGACGAGCAAGATGGGAGCTGTCATGAATTTGGAAGAGTAAGGAGGGGCATGTGTAAGCCGGTGGGTGGTAGTGCCTTCCCGACATCACACCTTCCATTCATTTGGCAAGCCGTGAGCTCTTGCTATAACTGTGCCCTCCCCTTCTTCCAATAACGCCTTGCACACATAAATCTTTCCCCCGTTTTCCCACCTCAGCCTTCTTCCCCCTTCTCCTTCTCTCTCGTCCTTCCCCTTTCCCCTCCATGGTTTCTTCTCCTGCCCATCCCCAGTCGCTCGAATACGAGTGAGCCGGCTTTCATTCGTTTACCTCCACTCGCAGTACAGACTTTCGTTTGTTTGAATACCCCTAACGTCAGTGACTTGTCAGGTATGGCAATAAAGACTCTGCCACTGTGCATACTGTACTAATGATGCTTCAGAAAGGATGCCGAATATGCGAGCCCCATGTCTCAAGGTCGTCCTCGCGGCCGTGATCGGGCTGCTGTCCTTTTTTATAGGCGTGTCGGGTTTTGTCAACGCTGATGGCCTCAAGAAGCAAGACAAATCCGGGTCCAACGCCGCTGCCCTCAATGTTGAGCATCGCGCCAGGAGCCCTCAGGATCCCAATGCCTTCATCAGCTACGACTATGGATACACTTACCCGCCCTTCCCCCCTCCTACCACTTACGGGGACCAGCCGCCGTCGACTGCGGTTCCATCTACAAACAGTGACTATGGTTAGTTAGTTATATCTCTCTAATACTAGTCACAGACTAACATGCGCAGCGTCTTCAACTAAAGTCAGCTCGGTGGCTAGAGACTCCAGCACATATGGCATCTCCGATTCTGTTACTCTAAGCTTGACTGCTTCTGCTGGAGCTACTGCCACACTCTCTGATACTGTCACACACCCGCCAAATTCTGATAGTCCTTCGTCTACTGAATCTTCCAGGGTGGCCAGCATCACTGTGTCGTCGAATGCGTCGACTTCCGTCGCCTCAAGTGTCTCATCCACTGTTTTGACGGAGTCAACTCTCTGGCCGCCAGCCAACACCTCGATCAGAACCGCAACGTCATCCATTCCGGCAACGTCACTAAGCGCCAACCAGACAGCTGCTTCAAAGACTATATCTGGCACACTTGCTTCAGTGTCCGAAGTCAACAACAGCACGGCCATATCTCTGACTGGTCCAGCATCAGCTACTCCCACGTCCTCGCCACCGTTCACTGTGTTCAATTCATCGTCCCACATACAAACTGCCACCGCTGGCTCAGTTTTGCCTTCTTTCAATACATTGTCGTCAACAATATCTCTCTTCGTTTCTTCTGGTCAAGCTCCTACGTTGACTCGACCAGTGGAAAGTCCGTGGCCTACGCTCTGGAATTCAACTGCTTTTTCCACCTTGGTGACCAACTCCCAGACTTACCCACCCAACTCGTCCTCATTGAGAACGTCTTCTGTTGGCTTTTCAAAGTCTGCGAGTTCACTTACCGTAGTACCTTCTGTCGTCACTCTCAGCGCCAATGGAACCGTTCGGTTGACAACACTTTCACATACCCTACAAGCCACTGTCGGATGGAACAGCACACAATCGGGTGCTCCGATCACGGGCAGTCAGACCACACTTGGTACAGGCGTTCCCACCAGCATACCAATAAGTTCCCGAGTCTCGGGCGCTCTTAATAGCACCTCAAATGCCACGGTTACGACTTTCAGCAGCTCAGCCTCGAGATCGGTTGTGCCGTTCCCCTTACCAAACTCAACAATCACTATTTCCAATAATGGCACAGTCTTTGTCTCGAATATTCTAGGCACAGGATCTAGAGTTCTTCCCACGGCCGGGACGTCAAGTCATCAGTGGCCGGTACCCAACTCGACTATTGGCACCATCACTGGAACTGTGATGTCAAGCCCGGTTACCCTTACTGGTTTGCCAAGCGCTCCACCAGTCAACTCCTCAATGATTGTTGGCCATGCAAACACAACAATTTCAAGTAGCCCGACCGGAGACTGGACTTCCCACCCTGTCATCACCATAATTCTGCCTACTTCGACTCTCATCATCTCAGGAACAGGGCCCGTCATCCGAACGAGTATTGCTGTCACTGCCGCGCCTTGGTTTCCGGCCAACTCGACAATATGGCCAAGCGGTACACTTGCCTCTATTAGCGAAGAAAGCCCACCGCCTGTCCCATCTGGCACCGGTACATTTCATTCGGCGGTCAACAGCTCCAGCACAACGGCGCCATATCCTGCTTCGAACACCACTACTCGAATATTGCCCACGGGAAGTGCGAGCAGTCAAGTGTCAGGTACCCCATTCACAATCTCCACGAATGGCACGGGTCTCACTGCTCCATGGAACTCAAGCATGACCATGATTTCAGCGGTAGGCTCCACGGCAGGAACAATAGTTATTACATCGATCGGCAATGCCACAAGCGTAACTGCTACCATTGCCACCCCTCCTCAACTACCGAATTCGACGTGGGCCGCGAGTGCTAATGCCACTTGGACGGCAGCAAGCCGTTCCGAGGATCCAGAAACCTCTAAGAGGACTTCGATAGGAGCTTCGGTCACTTTACCTCCATGGCCAACGTTCAACTCCACCCAGGCATCACTTACTGGCACCGTCTCAATCCCTGTCATCACCTCGTCGGCAACTGGTATATCAAACAGTACTAGTTCAGCCTCGGAATCGTTCCCTTGGAGAAACTCAACATCGAGAGGGAGCCTCACGGCCTCAATCATCACCGTGAGCGGAGGTAGCACGATCACTTTGTGGCCAACGGGGGCGACTCCTAGCCTTACTTCGTCCCCGGACACCAATGGGACGGTTCTGCAAACGTCTACAGCCAACGCCACACGTATTCTGACATCTTCAATGACATCGGCCCCATTTCCCACATTCAATTCAACCCAGATCCCCTGGTCCACTGCGGTAAATGCCTCTAGGATGCCGTCTTCCATGGTGTACTCAGGAACCACTGCCATCACTTACACATCCATCGGAAGCAGCCGGCCACCTTTTCCCACGACGAATTTCACCACGCTGCCCGGACTTACAGGAAGCGGCACATGGGCTTCGGGAACGTTGTTCCAAACATCTGAGCCCTCAGAAACATCCAATAGCACTTCTTCTACCGTCAATTCGCCACCATTCCCAACAACAGGAAATTTCACTACTATTCCAAGGCCAACTTGGATCCCTGGCACCGCATCAGGGTTTCCCGTCACTACTTTGACCACCACCGGAGTAAATGGTAGCACTACCCAAACACTCACGATTGTCTCTCTGCCGTCGTTCCCAACCTCAAACGGTACGGCAACCCTAGGCGCAACTGGCACTTCTGCCGGCACAGGAGGCAGTGCCACTTGGGGAGGTACAGACGGACCATTCAGTGCTCCCACGGATTCGAGTTCAACCTGGGGTCAGTGGCCAAATTCAACAGCTTCAACTACGGTGTCCGCCACTGGTGTACCAACGATACCATCTGGCACCGCTCCTTCGACTATTTCACAAAACACGACGACGACCACAGCGATGAACAGCACGACCTTCTCAACGAAATCTTCTTCCATTGCAACTGCTAATGCCTCCCCGCTACCTCCGTTCAGCAACTCAACCACCATCTCTGGAGCAATCTCAACGACTCATTTCACCTGGACCGTGTCCGGATCCGTCTTCTCTTCTGTGTCTATATTACCTGTACCTACACTCTTGCCTTTCAACTCATCTGCTCCTCGGATTTCTTCCGGCACCGCACCCCCCTCTGGGCCCTCTTCAACCCCTTTTTCTATCCCTGGAGTCACGCCATCTCTTACCGAGTCGGCGGGACCAGCATTCACCAACTCCACCGGCCTTCCTCCAGGAACTCCTTCGCCCTGCAACACTATAACCTTCACCAACGGCACCGTAACTCAGGTCGTCACCACAAGCATTCTCATCACTTCCGCCACGGCGAGCGCTGATCCAACAACATTGGCCTATCCGCCGGCCTCTTCAAACAACACCGCGCACCCTCCTAGATCTTCCTGCACTTCCAGGTGGCAGAACATCACGATAGCATCGTCGGCAGGGTTCAAAAGTACGTGGACGTCTTCAGTCCAAACAAATCGTAAGTCAACCCCTCCCGGGCCAGTGTAGCCATTTTAACAATACCACAGGACCCTGGACATCTGTTGACCCAGCCACGACGTTCATCACATCGACCACAAGCCGCTTGAGCGACCCGAGCAGAGACAGCGGTGGGATCCCTGATACCAGTTTCTCCGTGGCTGGTACGCCTACCATGACCGTCTCGAATGTGCCCCTACCCTCTAGCCCAGCTTACCCCTGGGGAGGACTCGGTCCCATTTTCCGACACTACAGCGGAACTGATCCTGTTGACGACGATACAGGGTCGCCCGACGGTCCAGTGGTCCAGGAGAGGAGCGGCATCTGGTGGGCTCGATGGAAAAAAAACATGGATCGCCTCGCATCTCCTGGTCGGGCGAGGAATCGGGGTGCTTAGGTCTCATAGCAGAGATTAGCATCATTGTAACCGGATCTTTCATCGATGCAACACTTATTTCGACAACTTTCTCAAATGGAACATTTCTTCTCAACCCTGGGAGCACGATTTCCAGCTTTTCTCTATGTTGATCTCATTTGAACCGCGTCCATTGATGGACCAGTGCACAAGTACCCATACCGAGAGTCTCCAGTATACCGCAACCCGACGGATGGCGTGCCAGAGTTATTTCCTAGCTAGAGTAATGGAAAAAGATAAAATGGCTTTCCCGATGAACCATTGAAGTGTTGCTTGTACTTCCCGTGATGAAACGCCCCTTTACCCTCCCCCCGCCATTGATGAATGATGCCCCCCCCATGCAATGCGCCTAAACACCACGATCCATATGCGAAATGGAAGTCCCATCAAACCGCCAACTCTGAAGTCTATAACCGTTGCCTAGTCTTGACAACTCCCTAAACAAGCAAGAACGTCGTAGGCTACTGTATACCGTCTGGCGGATTGGAACCATTCCTCTCCGCCACCGTCGGCTTCCGCCCATACACCACGTACCTATCAAGTCAGCACGCCGAAACCTTCATGTCATGAATCTCACTCACAAAGGAACATAAGCGTGCACTCTATGACTCCTCAAACTCTTCCTCACCGTGGCGCAAAAAAGCAGCGTCTCCTCTTTACTCCACCTCAGATTCCTCGTCGCTAGCCCCAGCGTAAGCCCTTCAAGCCCGTGATCGAGGTTACAGTGCGTATACGCCCCCAGCGTCTTGAAGTGCGGGTCGCGAGGCCACGCGTTGACGGGCCACTTGAACTGCGTCTCGACAACGTCGATGAAGCCTGCGTTGCGCATCATGGCGGCGTAGGTTGGGGCTGCGTCCATGTGGCGGCCTGTGACGCGGCCGCCTCGCAGAAAGAGGTCGGAGAGTTTATGGATTGGCGAATCTGGGGATAGGCTGGCGTCGTCGCAGCGGTAGGGGAGGGTTAGGTCTTGCATTTCGAGGTAGCCGCCTGGTTCGAGGTTCCTGGGGGGTTAGGGGGGTGAGTAGTTGTACGGTTGCTGGGGGTAAGTATGCGTGGTATGGCAGACATAGAATGAGAGGGAGAGGGACAGTGGTGAGAGTGAGAGGGGAGAAAGGTTGAGACATACTCGAAGGCTTGATTCACAAAGTCTTGATAGTTTTTCAGACTCCCTGCTAGCATGCGGACAAAGATGAAGTCGAACGGCTGAGACCAAGTCCAGTCTTGCTCTAGGTCGTCTAGTTCCCAAGTCAAGTTAGGAGGCGTCCTGTCATTTCCTTGTTAGTGAACACAATGGCGGAGCTGGTTCTCACTCGATGTACTTACCATTTAGGCTGAATGTTGCTCAGATCGACACCAATGACCTAGATTGATATTTGCGTTAGTAGTCGTTGGGAGGGAGGGCGGGAATCTCTCGCAAACTTGCCTTGGCTTCTGGATGTTCGTCCGCTAAGTTTCACACTGTCAATTTCATATTCCGCAAGAGAGGCGAGACAGAATGAGGTGTATCTCACCGTAGTCCATTGCCCAGATCCCGGTGCCTGTACCGGCGTCCAGCACGCGCTTTGCTTTCTGTGTACCCTTTGGACATAAGCAGAGCTTGTCGTCTAGCGTTACGCTCCACATGAGGTGCTGGAAATCTGGGTGAGAAAACACTTATGAGCTTCAGAGCTTTTCTAAATTGCACTAGGAAAAGCAGGGGAGACACGTACCAAGGCGTTCCTGCTCGACAATGTCGTTGGGAAACGGGTATTCTGTGTTGATGTCGTTAGTCAAAGACACCGCATTGGAGGTTGTCTGATGGGCACTACTCACTCCCGGAACTCATTGCGTGGTATGTCCTGCCATTCTCCTCCAGCACCGTCAGCATACTCGGAGTAGGTGAGTCGGTACTGCCATTCCGAAGCTGTGGGACATGAGATCGTCAGACTGTTTTCTGGTAATCATTTGAAAGAATCTTGGGAGGATTTCTGGTACATGTTTGGAGCTCCAATTGCGCGGGATGTGACGTGAAACGCCGCCACGTAACTAAACATGAGAGGTGAAGATTGGGTGGGGGGCAGAACATAGGCTGGGCAGAACACACAAACACATACCTCCGAGATTGCCGAGTCCGAATCAAATGTATCGGGCTCCTGAAATACGACCAAACCAGTTAGTTTAGATAGAAACGATGCAATGTGAGGTCGGAAGATTGTCTCGTCAAACGCACCAGAGGTTGCCCGGCGGCAGCCATATCTCTTCGCAAATTCGCTCTGCAAGTTCTCTTCGGTCGTTTGTCGATGTGAGTGTTTGAAGGATGGTAGATTGAACCCAACCCCGGTTTGGCTTCGGGAAATACAGAAGGTGGATAACGGTCGTTCCAGGGATGGTGAGGGTACGGGGAAGAGGGCCCCAAGGACTACTCCTTAAGGAGGGCAGGAAAGGAAGGAGAAGGGGAGTCAGGCCGGAGCTTAATCCGATGGCACTTGCGCGCAACATTTACATCGGGCGCACCTTACGATTACATTTCTTGTCCGTAATTACCTTGTAGAGCAATCACAATCCCAATCCCAATCCCAATCCCAATCCCGGCCTTCCGTGAACAGGTGATGCAAGTAGGGACGGCCCCTTTTCTGGGCGATCAGGCACATGCCGCACCTCCCCAGCCTTGACCGGGTTATCAAGGCGGGATCGACCTTACCTTATTTCACCATGGGCGGCTACGGGAAACTTCCAATACAGACTACGAATACCTTATCAGGAAAAGTAAGATACCTTAGTGTGCGAGTACCATGACATCGCTCCAAATCCGCCGAAAAAAGCTGCCTGAAGAGGACGAGAGAGAGAGAGAGAGAGAGAGAGAGAGAGAGAGAAGAAGAGCTCGGACGCCGTCGTGAACTTTGAGTTGTGATGATCATGCAGGGACCAGTAAGTGCCGAGATTGATTCGTCGGCGTCCGGGAAGGGGGTGGTTGGGTTGGGAAATGACGGAGCACATTTGTCAAGTTATCCGTACGGATACTGAATTCAGATTTACAAAGCCGCTCTATCCGCGGAGTTCCTTATACGCGTCCGTGCCTGTTGAATTATCGCTTCCCTTGAGCATTGATCGAATCATCTTTTTGTGAATGATGCGTCTTTTTGTGAATGTCATGACTCGGATTTAGGTTTTTCTTGTGCGAGAGGTTTGATCCAATGATTTTTCAGTGCACTGTGTCGTATTATCGCGTCGTTGATAGGGTACGACGTATAATCCAGTGGATAGATTTCCTGTCACCCGCTGTTGCTTCAATAATGTGGTTTTGTTAGGTAGTGTTCGGTTTGCGGCGGCGTTTGCACGAATTATACCAGAGGTAAAACGGCATCACCGACTTTCGCTCCGAAAATTCTACGCCGCTGCCGGAGCGCTATCTCGTCCTTGAGTCGGAGAAAGTGGGTCACGCACCGCACGGAGCACAATCGATGAGAAGTGACGATGGGCCTTGGAGTTGCCATTCGATATGTGCCATGGAACCGGAAGAGAAAGATCCCACAAACGGTAAGGCCGCTCATAGATGGAAATCTCAGAGAGGCTGGCAGAATGCGTCAGTGCTGTGATGAAGTTCCAGTTCAGAAGAAAACCGAGTGAACCAAGACCTTGGTGCACCCAAGGCGGTGCATCAGGTAGGTACCTCACACGGTCGCAGGCAATGTTGCCCAATCTCGACAGTGTCTTCTCGTGCTTGCCATATTAGCCGTCATTGCGAATTAATAGAAGCACTCATTGTATGATTATAAGAGTGTGCCTTTTTTATAAAACGTACTCCTCGCCATACGACGCTCATGGTTGTCCAGTCCAGCATGATCAAAACAGAAACCATCCCACGCAGAACTCCAGGGGACTAAAGCTCCATACCACAGTAGATAGCCTCTAATCGCCTCAGGTCAGCGGCAAAACATGCCATGATTCTCACTCTGCACCTTTCAATTCTGACAAGCTCCCACCTAAGGTAGCTTTTCCCCGGACATCCCGGCCGGGGCGAGTGCCGAAGAAGGCCGCTGACACACTCCGCCCTCCCATCGCAAGTCCCGAGCAAGGACCCGGTGGGTGACGCTCGGGCCTCTACCTTCACTACCTACCCCTCCAAGCCCTCCACCGACCTCACCTCCCGCGACAGGCTGTGGGGGCGGGGCAGCGCTAATACCCCGCAGAACATGAAGTCAGAGACTCAGACTGAGTACCGTGGAGGGGGTGATTGACACCCCAAGTAGTAGGTATGTGTACCTAACTGGGGATGAGGGGGAGGGGTAAGGGAATGGCATAGGTACGTTCGAGTCTGGGGGAATATCAAATGACAATATGCTGACATACCTCTTTTCAAGCAGTTAATCCTAGGACTTAGAGGCTCGTTCCGTAAATCCGTGGTCCCTCGAGCGTGCAACTGCATCTAGAGTACGGCGGATTTGCCGCGTCGCGGCTAAGGTATCACCCGTCGACTGACTCTCGCAGTTCAGACCATCAGTAAGGTACCACATGGTACAGCTAACCCACTCGGAAATCAGCGATTACAGAGCATTACATAAAGAGTGCCCCTCCCTCTGAAGACCACCACCATTCCCAGATAAATCCGGAGTGTTAGATGTTAAAGACAGACAAGACGAGCAGAGGGCAATTTGTGTGTCTCTCTGGACAATCGAAATCGACTTGAACTCGTGCTGTTGCTCGCATCTAGACCACGCAAAATTAGCAAGTAACAATGGCTCAAAATACACCAGAGCTCCTGGATCTCACGATCGACAACATCACACCCAACACCGTCCGCATCAACTCGCAGAGCGACAATGCGCGACTCAAGTACCTCATGGAACGGCTGGTCACCCACTTGCACGACTTTGCGCGGGAGACGCGGTTGAGCACCGACGAATGGATGGCAGCGCTGAATTTCCTTGTCGGCTGCGGACAGATCAGCAGCGACGTGCGGCATGTAAGTCGGCGCGTGATACCCTCAACTATCGTGAAGATGGCGGACCCAAGGACTCTTGACGAACGACGCTGACCACCCGACCAGGAGTTCATTCTCCTCTCCGACATCCTAGGCCTCTCCCTGCTCGTCGACAGCATCAATCACCCTAAGCTACCCGACACCACCGAAGGCTCCGTCTTGGGACCATTCCATACACATGATGCGCCGACTCTAGAGAACGGAGCTAATATGTCGGGAGATCCCGAGGGCGAACCGCTGCTGGTTGTGTGCACGATCAAGGACCGACAAGGCAACCCCATCTCTGGGGTCAAGATTGACATCTGGGAGACGGATAGCAGTGGCCACTACGACGTGCAGCATGAAGGTAGGACAGAAGCGAGCGAGCGCTGTGTCATGGTCTCCGATAAGGACGGCCGCTTCTTTTTCCAGGGAATCAAGCCCGTGAGCTACCCAATCCCCCATGATGGGCCGGTTGGAAAGCTGCTGTCGCTGCTTGGGCGTCATTGCTGGCGGCCAGCGCATCTACACTTCATGTTCCAAAAGGAAGGCTGGGACCACTTAATCACGTAGGTTTTTCCGCCCTTATCTCTTCATCCATCAAAGCAATCAGCCCTTTCAGCAACGCCCTGTTCCGTTCCGATGCGGATGGTAAGGGTTAGGTGAGATGGATCGTGGATCTGGCTGACGCAATCACCTAGAGCGCTCTATATCCGGGGAGACCCCTATGAAAAATCGGATGCGGTGTTTGGTGTCAAGAAGAGTCTCGTTGTCGACCTCGATAAGGTAGACAAGGCGACGGCGGAGGAATACAGCGTCAAGGAGGGTAGCTGGTTACTGAACCAGGACTTTGTGCTGGTCTCGGAGAAGGAGACGCAGGAGCTGCGGGACAAAAATGCCGTCGAAGCCTTGGGAAAGCTGGGCCTGACACATCTGAAGCTTGTCGACCATCTGCCGGTGCCAGAGCTGGACTAAATGACTGTCGAGTTGTAATGAAAATTCAAGTCTGTAATTTCCAATTCGTAACTATGCGATCGAGTACTCGCGCGCCTCGGCACCGAAGCTGTAGCTCAATCGTGCCAGTTTGGAATGCTCTTCGTAGAATTCTGTTGGTGGACAGAGAACAGGCTAGTCAGCTCCCACTGACGTATCGTGGAGCCGCATCCGGAGACTTGTGAGTCGTAGGGCTGGGCGCCGAAAGCGGGAGGGCCAGTGGTGTTCCCAGTCTGGACCGACTGGCAGCAGATGGCCATTAGGAGGTCGGGACTGATCGAGGCGTAAGGTCTGGAAGCTGGTGCCGATGCAGACGCCGCAGACGCAGGGAGGAAGGATTTCTCGTGCAGACGAAACGAACAACATTGTGTCTCGTTGGGGTCTGGCGCTCTTCCAGGGGTATTCCCTATCAGATGATTGCCCATGTCTCAGTCCAAAGTGCGTGATCGATGGAAGTAGTGGCTGCCAACGAGAGACTTCGGGCAGGTGTACGATGTATCGAGGAAGCTCCGGTGGCGCCGACGTCCTGGCAGAACTGGCAGAGGCCTCACAGTGGCTGTACTTGGGGGGTGGGTAGCGCAGAGTGCCGAGATACGAGCTGCAGATGGCATCCATAGACTGCTTGGGCATCCCGCCGACTAAACCGCAAATAGCCAGGGACAATCATGGGGTCGCAGCGACGGCGCACGAGTCGACGAGTCCAGCCACAACTTAGGTGTGGGCCGTGCTGGTGTTGGTGTGACTGTGCTTGTGTGTGCCAAGTGTGACGACCAACCAAACCTCTGTAAGGTTGTCCGTAATCCATAGTCGTCATCTTGTGCAGGGCTGGACTCGGACGGGTTTGTCAGAAACAACGTGCTCACTACGAGGTCTGACATTGGGATGATGGGAAGATGGGAAGATGGTGAGTAACAGGTTGAACTGTGCGAGGGAATGTCTAATGACTGCAGGATGCAGAAGATGCAGATAATGAGAGAGAGCCCTGCCTAGGTCCCTTCCATGAGGCAGGCTCCAGGTTCCATTGCCTTATCTCTCCCATCGAAGGTACCTTATCGGGCGCAGTCAGCGGTTCACGCGATTCCGTCTCCCCAGTCCCACTGGCTCAGCGGCAGCCAGGTAGGCACGGGAAACGGCGAGTGGCCTGTGCAGTAGTTGCCCCTCGTGCCCGGCTCTAACAAGCCCCCCCCCCCCCCCCCCCCCCCCTCCGGTTTGGTCACTACCTACTTACCAGGACGGCAAGGTCCAAGACCCATTGCCAGGTACCTTATCTGCCTGTCTTAGGTAGCGACGGGCGGATAAGGTAAGATAGGTACCTGACTGTTGCGCTCTTTGTAACTGTTCAGAAGGACTGTTCAGTGCCCGCCCGAACCTGAGTCCGTCATTCCTTCCGTCCCAAGTTACCAGCTTTGCGGCCTGCCTGCCTGCCCACCCTAACTTCAGTCACTGATCTGCAGACCCCGTCCGCCCCCCATAAATCTTCCGACGTATATAACCACCCAGCCCAGTGATCCCTCTTTCATCCGTCTCTCACCACCCACCATCGACTAAATACATCATCAACAACAACAGATCACCGCCAGATCAACCGCGAACCCCCGCATTTGTGTTAACAACCCAACTACTCGAATACTTATCACAGCGAGACCGCCCTACGCCGTCTGTCGCTAAACCCCCG